TCCTCGATCTGGAACTTCTCCAGATAGATCATCTGCTGCATGTGACTGCTCCTCATCGCCCGCAACGGGCATCTCCCTTGTCACACGCCCCTCTCTGGCCTCTGCAGTCTGCTCCTCCGCCGCGATCTCGTCGTCCAGATCGGGTTCCTCTGCGTTCTCTTGGGCAAACACCTCGATCTCGCGCGGGTGGAAAATGGTAACCAAAACTGGAGCAACTCCTCCAGGTAGACGATCAGCTCTTTGGGGTTCCCAAAGTACTCGACTTTCCAGCTCCTTCCACCCCTGCTCATCCCAGACCCAGCTGCTCCTCCATGGAAAATCGGCAGCAGGGGCCACTCGTCCTCCACCTTTGAACCTGGTTGCTGAAGGCGTAGACAACACCCACTCACCTCGCTCTGCTCGTTGCCATCCAGAACACCTGGCCCACCTTTCTAAATCCTCCCCCGTGGGCTTGGCTTTCTCGTTCTTCTGCTTGTCCTCGAACGCGCCCTTGACCATGGCCACGCAGAGTTTTTGAGGATATTCCTGGGCATGCCGGGCGAGACCATGTAGAAGCGGCACATGCTGATGACCACCATCGCATCTCTTGGAGAGGTACTCCTCCATCTTGTCGCCGTTGACCATGAAGTCCGTGCTCTTCTTATTGCCTCCGCCTCCGACTTGAAACCCGTACATACATTGGTCTCCTCGCACTCGACGAACTCCAGGTAGTGACAACACTCGCTTCACCGCGGACTCGTGCCACGCCTTTGAGGTCGTTGGGTGCTCGAACAAGGCCAACCGGCCTCTTCGGACCTGCCACTCGAAGAGCTTCATGGCAAACTCCACGTGCTCGATGCCCTCTGCCAGCATCACAAATGCCTTCTTGGGGTTCATGCGGGGGTAGTTCCACTCCTGCAACGAAGAGAACGGCCCGCATGGAGGACATAGCACTAGTAGATCAGGATCCTCCGCCTCCAGCTGCTGCATGCACCTCCTCTTGTCTCCGTGATCGGTTAGATCGTATCCAGTGATCAGGTCGAAGACGGTACCCTTGGACATTCCGAGCTTCGCAGCCGCGTTGGAGACCCGTGGAGGTGAAAACACTTCCGACACGACCATCTCGTTCATCTTCCTCGAGATCTTCTTTCGGTCCTTGCTGCGAAGCGTGCCCACACTCTCCTCCTCGTAGAAAGGATCCAGCAGTTCATCAGCGAACACCCCGTAGACGTGCTCCTCGTTTCCAATGTGCAAAATGCCAAGGTGGAACTCATACTTCTGCACATCTTCTCTCCACTTCCAACACCCAGGCTTTACCCGCTTGGCGTAGTTCGGCTTCTCCTCATCCTCGATCTGCATCAGACACCATTGATTTTGGAGATTCGGGGTGGAGATCTTTTGGGCCCAGGGGGCATTCTCCACCTCCTCCTTGTCCTTCAGGTGCAGTCGCTGGGCGTTTCCTCCGCCTGCATCGCCTCCGCGTTCTGGTTCACCTGGTCCCAGTGGCTTCGTAGTCGCTCCACTTGCTCCCACGCCGTGTTCCTTGCCTGCGGGTCGGTCATGACTTGACGCATTCGCTCTTCTCCCATGGCCGCCGTCAGAAACATCACCTGTGATTGTAGAGCATGAACTTGGCTGGTGTGCGCCTCGGCTTGCTGTTGAGCCCAACCTTGAATCTGCTGCTGCTGGACCTGGATGATCTCCTGATAGCGCCTCTCCGCTTCTTGCACCACTTCCAGCTTCACCCGTTCCAGCCTTTCCTCCTCCATCTCCTCGAACTCCCTCAGCTGGCGGTTCCTCTTGAACGGGTCCTCCTTCAGCGGCTCCCACCAGAAGTAATCGCACTGTCTTTGGACGCACTTCCAAAACGCTCTTCCCTGACGGGGTCCCTCCTTTTTCACAAGCAGCCTCTCTGCCGGCTTCGCGCACCGACACATCACCGTCGGTTCTGAGGTTGCCTCGATCACTGGCGGGGCTTTTCCCTGAGAGCGCTTCACCGGCTTGGTCTGCTCCATCTGCCCCTTCGTGAGTTGCCACCGCTGATGGCATCCCGCGCACCACACCTCTCGGGAGTATTGATTCCCGGCTCCCTTCAGCATCTCGGCAGAGTGCATGCAACGGCCACTCGTCACCTTCGGGGGCTCCTTGCAGTTGCGTGGAGGCAGTGCAGGTGCGTCCTTGATGAGCTCCGCATAGTGCCGCTGTTTGTCCGAGGCGACTTCGGGCTTGTGCTTGGGCTTGTAGAAGGTCCCGAAGTTCAACTCCTTGGGCACCGGTGCCGTAGAAGAAGAAGATCCAATAGAGACTCCACCGGATTCCTCGCCGAGTGCCCCTTGTGCTGACATCCGAGCGACAATGACAAGCATGTCGACGATCTGCTGCAGCACCACCCTCCAGTTCTTCACTGCCCGCTTGGAGTTGTGCACAAACTCCCGCTTCTCCTCCTTCTGAGCCTGGGACTCTGCTTGCATCTTTACGGCTCGCTCGAACAGGCTCATGGCTGTGCGTGAGAAAATGATTGGGCCGGTCCGTACCACTTGGAGCTGTCATGGCTGGGAAATGCATAGATCCACGCATTCCATGATTCTTCACTCTGAACATCTCTTCCAACCGCCCACGTTGCTGGGCTTGATAGGGGAGGATCCATCCGTGGTTCCCGAAGTTGCAGATGTCGATTCCGACATGACCAGTGGGAAGTGACACCAGCGGGGTTTGTTGCCCTTCTGCCCTCAACTGAAGATTCATCTCCTCAAGGTCAATCACTGCTTTCAGTTCCCTCAATAATGAAATGGGCAGCAACAAGGGAACCTCCTCCTTGACGACAGTAACCTCAAGTATCCCACAAACTCCCGCGCAACCCAACGGAACTTCCACCACTGCCACCACCTGTGCCTGCCCGCCAACTCCTCGTGCCCTCCCTTGCTTGTCCAACTTGTGGGGGCGAAATCCAAAATGTTTGAGCTCTTCCTCAAGACGAGACAAAGCGGCTTCCCCTATAAGACCTCCTTGGGCAGCTGTGTCCACGATCCCGAGGTTTCCCTTCATGGTGAGCCCCACAAACGAACAAGCCGGCGGTTCTTTATTTTTCCGGGGCATGAAATCCGTGATGGAATAATCCCGGAGATACAGGCACACATCCTCTGGTGGACCGGCCGTCAAATAAAATCCATGCGGGCTACCGGCTGAAGCTCCCGGAGATGATGAAGCGGCCGAAGACTTCAACCTGGACTTGGCGACCTCGTCCATTTCTCCACGGCACTCTTTGGCCCAGTGCCCGACTTTCCCGCACCTGGCACACCTGGTGCGAAGCTTCAGCATCTCCACGTGTACTCGAGCTCCTCGACCTTCACCAAACTTGCCCTTGCCCTTCCCCTTCGAGCCCTTGCCCTTGTTCATTGGAAAATAGCCTCTGCCATTGCGCTGATCCCTGATGGCCTTCCGCACCTCCTGGTAGGTTGCGAGCGCCTCCATGAGCTCCTCTTCTTCATAGATCTCGTTCAGATCTCCCTCGCCGAGGTATACATAACCGTCCTCGGAGCCATCTTCTTCTTCCGCCATGAACGTGCCCTCGTGCTCCCTCTCGTTCGTGCCCTCGAAACCTTCCGCAAGATAGTTGCGGCCTCCCTTCTCCTTCTGCACCTTCTCCAACTTCCGCAGGGCTGCAACCACCGTCTCCCGGTCATACTTTCCAGAAGTCCACGTGGTCACCTGATCCTCCTGGACACTAGTGAGCGCCGCTTGCCGGAACATCACATAGCCTTTGACCTCTGTGGGCAGCTTGACACCCTCTTCCTGCAAACGCGAGAAGGCTGCCTCGACCCGGATGATGTACTCGCTCAACTGCTCCTTGCCCTTGCGCGCCTCTCCGTAGATGGCCCTCTCGAAGGCCTTAGGCATAGCGGTCTCCAAGTATGGCTGATAGTGCTCCTTCAGCTTCTCGAGGATCGCCTCTACACCTCGCTCCGAAATAATGAGTTCGATGGGCAACTCATCCACTGCATCCCTTGCGGGACCACTCAAACTCCGAAACAGCTTGGTGCCCTGCTTGTTTGGAACCACGTCCGTCTCATGCCTCCAGAGCGCCAAATCACGAAGCCACCTTCGAAATTGCTCTAGTGATTCTCCTGCAAACTTGGGCGGCGGATCCCTATCTCTGAATCCTTCGCCCGCTCGACCATCCGCACCTCCCTGAACCTCCTAAGAGGCTCCGCTACCACTATGAATCCCCTCAGACATTGCGCCCTTTTCCTTCTACACATCTGTATGTGCCCCCTAGGCAGCACGAAGCCAAAATGGCTGAGTATATTCACATAGGAGAATCACTGCAATACCATGCACAGCGTTGAGGTCAAGGGCTGGTTTCTATTCACAATTTTCGAATATAATTTTTATTTGTTTTATTAAATTATTTATATCTTCCTATAATTCATTAATATTCCAAATCTAAATACTATGTTATTATAAATCTAAATTTTCTAAAATATATTAAACCAAAAACACAGCTTTAGAATCCATTCCTTCGTATCATCTGGATTCTTTCTTCTCTTCCCTTTATCCCCGTCTATTAAAAAATAAAAGGAACTATAAACGAAAAACAATAAGAAAACGAAATATCATCCCATTGTTCCTTATCCTTTTTATCATCCATCCTTATTCTGCAGCTAAGCTATCATCCCATTGTTCCTTATCCTTCTTATCACCCATCCTTATTCTGCAGCTAAGCCGCTATAATGATGCTTTTTGTTGTGCTCGTTTTTGTTACCCGGATGCTTTTTGGCAACAAAGACTTGGTGCCGAAGCAGTGCGGGGGTCGCATTTAAGCCGACGAATCTTGACCGAATCCAGGGTACCGTACCAAACTAGGTGCGACATCATCCCAACGGCTCGCGTAGTCCGACGCTCCCCCCAGTGCCAATGACGCCAGATATCAGCGCAAGCTACGACACTCTTCGTTGGTCACCAGTCGTGGTTTTGAGTAAACCCCATGTCAAACAAATAATTCTCTGCAGTTTACGGATTTTGAGATCAAGCCATGCTTAGGATAATCATCATCGTCGCCTATCTCGTTCGTGACCACGGTCCTTCAAGTGGCATGCAGCTTAAATATCTTACCAGTGCAATGGGGAAGTTGTCTTCTGCCGCGGTTTTTCCCTATGGAGAGCACACTCACTTTCGACACTTTGGGTAGGAGGAGCTGTTTGTAGCTAAAACCTGGGAGGAAAGGTTGGTTGACTCGATTGTCAGTGGGGAACCACTGCGAAAATGGGGATTGATCCTAATACCTGACAATGAATCTTGACTGGGCAAGCTTGCCGAGTTTTCCACCCTTCCAACTTCTCTTTGCCAATCATTTCACGGATCTGAATTGGGCTCCCTCAGTGTACCAATTCTCCCATGACCACGTTTGGATTAATATACCTTAATATCCGAACATTGCGCAAAGGGTGACTTCTTTCGGACACTCGCCCAGTCCTTTCTGCGATCATCTCTACCTGACATCCGGTGTCTCTCATGACCCTACGGACCCTGTGGAAGAAAGAATGTATTCTTGCCAGGTGTGCTCACCTTCACCGATGATGCTGTGGATTTTCTGGACATTGTATATACAACTCCCACACAAAATGGTAGAGATAACCATTCTTCCCACTTGCAACAACGGTACGAGCTTCAAGCGTCTCGAATGTTTCAATTCATGTGAGTGCAACAGATCTAGGAATAGGTGGCACTTCACATGGGTGGATATTAACCGCCATGTTCATGATTTCCACCAAAGGGTGCCCACTCGGAGTTGTGCACGGACTGGCCAGCCTGGCTCGTGCGCCTCTCGAGTGTGGCTCTTGGGTTTCGCCCCTGCCATAAGCGAAAGAGCAAACATGCGAGCCATGCAGCACGTAATCAAATATGATATGACGGAGTGTGTGTTCCTCATGTCATGTCTTTAGGCCCATTGGCAACCTCCTCCATCGTTCCATGACGGTCAACATCTTAACAAGCCAGCTACACGATCCTTGCGCTCCTTGTGACCTTCTCTGTCTTTGCGGTTCTCCTCCCTGCGATTCTCCTCCCTGCGGCTCTCCTCCCTGCGGCTCTCCTCCCTGCGGCCTTCCTCCCTTCGGCTCTCCTTGAAATCGCCTCTGTCGTCTCTGTCCTCCTTCCGTTCCTTCCGCTCCTGGAATAAGCCAGAACAGGAAAAGAAGGAGGCTGCCCAACCATGTGTGTAGACTTCAAGACATCAAAGGCATCCAGCAATTCGAGCAACAGCGCCCAAGGAGTCCCAAGGAGACCTCTCTGTTTCCTCTTCCAAGTGGCAGGCAGCATCACAATCCAAACCGGTGAAGACTCACATCCAGCACATCTGGGGGAACAATTCTGCATAATGGTGAACAACTTCTTACGCGCAATCCATCCCACTCATGTAAATTCAGGATGTAGGAGCGTCAGTCAATTTGTCAGGGTGTCCTGCTGTCCATCCATATGTTCCAACAATGTCCACTTTCCTCACATGTTGCACCATTTGCTGAAGCAAGGGCTTGGAACAAACAGAAACAGTCACACTCAGAATCTTTGTATGGTAGACACGGTATGAAGGGTTAAAAACGTACCTGGTCGATACAGCCAGAATTGACCTTGGCTCCGGTCGAATGCCATGGGCCTTCTTCTCGACAGCGCGGCCACGATCTCAGGCGATCGAAGCAACACGAGCCGAAGGCTCAAAGAGTCTCTCTCGATCAGTGCAACATATTTGGCTGTGGTTGTCAAAACCAATGGGATCCCATTTTGGGGTAGGTGCACCACCCATTTTAGTCTATTTTAGTGGGGATTGGGATGTTCACTGGGGGCATTTGGAGAAATCAACCGTGGAGTCCCCTATCCCGTGACTGGCTCAATGAACATCTGCACACCACTCGGCAATGCCAGACTCTGCAAACATGGCAGGACTAGCTCTGCAAGTAGGAAAACGCGCGGTTGAAATCCTCTCCTTTGAACTCATCCCTGCCTCCAACCAATTACGTAACAAATGTCCAAGCCAGCAATACCCGTTTCCAATCTTTACTCAGTGATATTGAGCCCTGGAGGGAAGGCTCCTCCCGGCCTATGATTTTAATGAGTCCTAGGTGGCTGCTAGTTCAGCCCATCAACACAGACCTTGCGTCATCTTGCTTCGCTGCCATGTTTTTTGCCTTCGACCTGGTACGCAAAAGGCTCGTTGATTCCACTTGCTTGAAGTTCAAGCGGTGGCTAATTAACTGATGGCAACACAGCCAAGGTCTTTGCAAGCGCAACTTGGAGCTTGCTCTAGGATTATGCTGCTCAACCATGTTTTGGCCTTTGCGCCTGCGTCCACAAAACATCTATGAGGAATTTTAACGCACTCCCCCTTGAAAGACACAGGTGGAACAGACTGGCTCTAGCAGGGCTTGCTCGACCCACATGCGAAGCATATTATTATGTTTGCTAAACCGGCAGCCCGGCCTCTGTGCTCTCTCCTCTCAGGGCTGGCTTCCTGACAGCAGTGACTGCACAATCTGCGCACAAACCACGGGTTTGCCCGAATTCCTTTTGCCATGCAGGCCGCACGTGCTGGCCACATCTCCCAGAAGTTTTAGCCTGTCGTGTTCCATTCCTGGTGATCAAATGCCAAACGCTTCAAGTGCATTGCTCGCGAAAGGAATACACCACTCGGTCCATTGTCAAAGAATTTGCCGCCTTGATGAAACCCAAAGGACTATTGTCCAGCTTTTTGATCATTCCGTTTGTGGAGACCGACCTTTTCCTGATCGAAGCGAGCCTTGTGCTTCTTCTCTTTCTTCCTGGGAGCCTTTTCGGGCTCCTCCGATTGCATGGCGGCAACGAAAGAGAGCACAACGCGCGTGGGGCGACACTTGGAATTCCCTGTGCGCTGAAATTATGCAAGGATCTCAATGAAAGCAACCTCTGTATTTTGTTCATGTTTCTTGACCTGTCGCAGCATGAGCATCCTCCCAAATGTCCTGCCTTGGAGTAACATGGATGCAGCGTAATCTACTGCTGTCAACTTCCAAGACATGTGCGGGACAAAACGTCGGATGTCGCTGTCGCAAGCAATGCTCAAAGCTGTCGACAATTGTGGTGCCTGCAGACAGACCCTATTGGCAAGGCGCAGTTCCCTATTGGCAAGGCGCAGTTGTGCGACATGTAAATGGCCTGCTGCGGTTTTTTGCTTCCCGGCATTCATTTGCATGGACAACGCCAAGGTGTGTGGGTCCTTTCTATAGACCTGCTCATGCCATCTCCCTCTGTCCTCGGGCTCTACCTTGGCCGCTTGCATCGCAGCCTCAGGGCAAAAGAAATCATCACACTGTGCGACTCAGCAACTTTCATCCCCTCGAGTCATGCGGAAGTGCAAAGAAGTAATTTTGCTGAACGGCGCTGAAGCCAGGGGTCACTGAAGGATTTGCCCCCCCCATTTCCGCACACAGGGCTTGCCCGATCAGTCAACCATCAGTCAATGTCTGTTGAGCCACATGCATTCCCTCAAACGTGCATCCTCACATCCGTCATCATAACATTGTCACATTCGCGCTGCAACTCTGACGAGTGGAGTGGAAGTTCAAAATGATGTCTTGGGCCAGGCAAAGGCCTCTCGCGGCATAAGAAACAAATGCTTGCTGCTGCTTTCCCTCTCAGTGCTGCACAGCCGGGATGGCTCCTGGCGAGGTCCGCATTCGTCGGAGGGGCGAACCGAAAGCGGAACCATCGCCACGTTCCACTGAGAGGGGCTGGAGTACCGGGAAAAGCAGGTAACAAGAGCCAGGAAAGCACTTTTCTGGCGGCTACGGGATGCATTCAAAGCGGTCGGGTACGAGCTGAAGGACGCCAGGGCATTCTTATTCCGTGCCCGTTCTGCCAGGAGGAAAGCTGGACATGGAATCACGTGTGGAAATGCGTGAAAGAAGAAGCCAGATTTGCTCGCACGGCGGTTTTTGTGGCCGCTTTAGCATGGCTGGAGTGGCTAAAGATCGCAGGGAAGGCAATTGCAGTGGGGTGCCTGCTCTCCAGGTGTGGCAATACACACATCTTCTTCTTCCCCTTCTTCTTGGTGAATGGGATTCGGATCTTGATGCTTGACAGCAGTGCAAATTCCAAGAAAATGCTTGACGTTTGTGAATGAAATAATGTGTATGTTATACATTTGCCAGCACGTTGCGATGGAATCAATGATTTATGCAAGCTCGGGCGTCTGTGGCGAGTATTGACAAGCAAGGTCAAAACATCCAGAACAAAGAGCGGCTGGATGATGCACTGAGCACCCCGTCCGACCATTCTACGAGGCTCGGACAGGCTATGGAAGTAGCTCGCTCTTGCAAGGTGCAGAGTCTCAACAGCTGACGGAACCACTACTCCTTTCCTCATGGAGAGCGGTGGGTCACCCTTCCTCTTCCCTCGTATCGCCTTTGTGAATGCTGCCACTCTTCCAGCACCGTTTTGGAAAAATGGAAAACACATATCTGTCGTTTGCACCCATGGTGTCTTGTACCGTACAAGCTTTGCACCACTAATTAGTCACATCCAGGTCAAGATGATAACATCTGCCAAGCAGGCAAAGTAACACACGTCTCTGATAGCCTGATCCAACAGTCGAGGCGCCAGATCGAGAAACGGTGTTCTCCCAAACGCAAGCCCTGCTATAAATTGAGCAACTGAAGACCCGCGAATTCCCCATTGCCCTCTCCTCCGCTCTCGTCTTTCCTGCAACTTGCTGATCAGGCCAAGGTTGCATCCGAGGTTGGAAGAGGTTAAGGTAGAAGCAACACAACCATTCTTCCCCCAGAGCATGCCGTGCTGGTTGCCTACCATTTCAATAGACGATCCGAGCTTGTTGGACGCACTGACAGCATGCTTCTTTGCGGCACATCGTTCGCATCACGAGTAAGCAAATATGCCAGCAGTTTCAGAAAGGAAGTGAATGTGCTCAGACTCACACGATTTGAACTCTTGGCAGGATAAACCAAGCCCCCCCTAATTGACATGATCCTCCCCGCTCATATGCCTAATCCAACATCGTCGCTTTTGCCGGGCCAGTCGGTGCCCCCGCCGCAAACAACGCCCACCACACACATCCAACTCAGACTCCGCCACTCCCCCAAGCCTTCTCTTCCGCTCCAAAGGCCTGCAATGGCGCAAGACAAGTATCAGCATGTTACATCCGAACATGAATGTTCACCTGAATGGGGTAACGCAGTACAGCTAGGCATGCAATCCAGCTTCATGTTGAATCACGGCCACCAGAAAAATCAAAAAAAAGAGAAGCAAAGAACGGCCAGACTAGGCGACTTGTACGCTTGAGATCTGTCGGCCCAATGTGTCCATGGGAGTTCCTCCGTCCCTGTATTGTCCATCCAATGTTGGCTTTTGCTCGATCGCTGCCAGATACTTTCACAGAGTCGTACACACTTGCCCTGAAAACTGAAAGACCTTTCAAACGCATACCAGCAGCAACACCTCGCGCTTAGCCATGCTAACGACTCTCCCATCATTGCCCAATGCTTCTCAACACATACGAGAACCGGTGGAAGGCAGGCTGCACGCACCATTGGACGCCCCAGAAACAGAACTGACAAATGTCGGACGACTTGAACACATGACAGGGCCCTTTCAGGGCGACTCCAGGAGTCACTTAAGAACACAAGTGCAACCTGTGCTAATCAACATGCTGCAGCAACATTGGCCATTTTGGACCGTCTGCCACTGTGCCTGGCACTCTCCACGCGCTCAGTGTTGATGCTTCTAAGACCGTGGCAAAAGGGTAGAAAGCAGGTTCCTGTATGGGAAACGAAAGGAAACCAACGATCAGCCCTGAACCAAACACTTCTCTGACCCTGCCTTGCCTCCTGGTGTCCTCTTGCCTCCTTGTATCCTCAGGCCTTCTTGCCTCCTCGGATGGTGCACCTGGCACGTCTGCCCAGATTCGACATAGGTCTCAGTCCTTTCAATATTCTACCTTCCCGAACAGCTGCAGATTGGGCACGGGTGTAACCAACGGATGCAACAAGATTGCCGTCTTTCACCTCGCCCGTCCCAGTTCCTTCGAAATGCAGTGCATCTCCGTGCATAAAGGTGCATAATACATGGAGAGCACCCCCACGCGGTCCAACGCAAGCGGGCACAGCGACACGTGAAACCGCAGCGCTCTCGGGAACGGTGCTGACAGGCTCGGCCTGCCGGTCGCTGGGAAGGGAAAGCACCTTAGACTTGTCATTGGGAGCTGAGCTTGCGGTCTCCCCAATTGCTGAGTTCACATCCGACGCTTGAGTACACCTTGAGCCGTGCGAAGCTGTCCGCACAGCTTCCTGTGTAAGCAACAAACGGCATAACACTGATTCCCCCTAGTTTGGGCCTAGGTTTGCCATTATGCATTCCTCGAAAACGTGTTCACTTGCTGCTGCACGCTCCCTCCCCCGCCTCGTTCTTCCGCTTTCGCTTCTTGTCTTTTGGCTCCTTTGTCAAGTCAAGTCATGGTAGAATTCTCTCCTTTTCAGAAAAACTGAACAGCGCTGCATGAGCGGAGAACCGTGTTTGGCGCAAGGCTATTGCATGCTTCCCAGGTGGATGGGCCAGCCGCATGCCAGTTGCTGTGAGACAACTTGTTGGGACTTCAGTCATCTGAGCTGAACACTTGATGCGGGGCTGGTTTGAGCTTCATCCTCCAAGCAAATCACACGAGGTTCTTGAAACAAACACGAACACATAGCTTTGGGTCGTTCGAGTTTTGCGGAAATGGCATGTCCGGCTGCTTCTTTCGTCCGGGATCCTCTCCGCAAATGATCTCCCACTGTCTGCGGACTGTGATATGGAGCTTTGGGACTCTTGTGATACGTTCGAAAGATTGAAGGAGCCTCGTACATAACCATCCTTGGGTGCCCTCTTTGGCCACATTGCGAATGCTGACCTCAGAGAGTTGCTCCCTTGCGGAAAGGCAACCCGGGTGACCCGCTCACGCGCAGAACTCGCGGTTCACCCAAGTGACAGCAGCTCCAGGGCTTTCGAGAAGCGCACATGCTACACTCCATCCTTGTTGGTCAGTTTGCTTGGAAAATTCGGAGATGGATGGCACTGGTTTCAGGTTGGTTGAAATCATTTACCGTACAGTCCATCTTTCCAAAAGCTCGGACAATAGTTGTTGTTTTATTATTTCATCCTTCTGAGGGTGCTTGAGGAAAACCAACAGGAACACCATTCCGACACAGCCCCATTTTGACACAGCCCCACCGTCCCGATCAGGCTCCTCTCGCTCCTCCCGCTTTCGATGCTTCGTGGCCGTGAGCGCGGCCGCGGCAGCGGCCGCCCGCGCCTCCAGGGCCTGAACCTGAACCGAGCTCTGAGACGGGGTCGTGGGGTGGTGGGGTGGTGGGGTGGTGGGGTGGTGGGGTCGTGGGGTTGGAGGTCACTCGTTTTGGGGGTCCGATTTGCAGGGCTAAGATGAAACTCTTTCGTTGCGGCAACCATGGCGCTCCTCACTCCCTGCCTGCGCTGGAGCCGCTGGTTCTTCTGGCCTTGTGTGGCTCAGCAAGCTGTGAGATGGATTCATCAAGCAACGTCACGCAACAGTGGCCAATTGATCCACATGGGTGTCAACATCAGGGAATTTTATGTTTCTCTCGCATCCTTCTGGCTTCGCTTGGCGGGTTCGCTATGCTCGAAACACATCCACCACATGTGCTTTGCAACTACATAACAACAGCAGGTGCGGCGATACACCAGGTTCACAAGCAGCATGCCCAGTCATGTTCATGGTAGCAGGAAACATTGTCCAGACCATGCAAGTCTGATCTGCCCACCGTATGAGAGACACTTCCCCCTCTGAAATGAAGGCAGAATCGCTCCCTCCGCACATGAAAGCAGCTGTGCCCCGCCATCAAATGAAGGCCGGTTTGAGCGTATGCTGGCCAAACAAGCCTGCTTTGCAAACAGGTCCAGACTTCCACCCATGCAGGCCTGAGAGTTTCCTGGCGAACCGCCTGCACCTGCACAGGACAAACCCACATTAGAAAGAAGGTGACCAAGATGTGATCACGAGTCTCTTTCTCTCGCACACATTGTCAAGGACATGCAAGACAGATATGAGATAGATAGATATCAATCATTGACTTCAGGATATGAATCACTCTACACATTCTATTCCTCACCTTCCTTTCTGAAAAAGAACATGTATGAATGCGTAAAACATATCAATATTGGAATGAGTCAGGAAAGACGGAATGGCCATGACCAGAACTGCTGGACGGGCACGGAAGGGCGGAACAGGGGTGGGCAACCGATCTTTTGCATTGGCGTCTTCTGGCGCCGAATCGGATACGGCTGAAGGGTTTGGATTCCGTGGAACCTGAGTGGTGCCCATGGTTTGCGGGCAGGTAATTTGGCCTCCCAAACCAGGGCAAGATAGGCCATGCAACATACAGAAAATGGGCGCTGCCATGGCGCAGCTTTTGATGAAAACAACTTTATGGTCGTATCAGCTTTGCCTGTGAACAAAATGAGCGGCTTCTTTTGAACCACTTTGTGGGGAGACATGCAGTGCGGCCGCCGAAGGGACACACAGACTCCCCCCTCCCTCTTTCTTTCTTGCTCTCTCCCTCCCTCCGTCCCTCCGTCCCTCCGTCCCTCCCTCCGTCCCTCCGTCCCTCCCTCCGTCCCTCCCTCCGTCCCTCCCTCCCTCCGTCCCTCCCTCCCTCCGTCCCTCCCTCCGTCCCTCCCTCCCTCCCTCCCTCCCTCCCTCCCTCCGGGTGCTGCTTTACTGCGAGTCTGTGCGGAACGGTTTGGAGGCACCTCCGCCCGGCGGCGCTCGACGTGCTGCCTGTGTTGCCTCGGACTCGCCATTTGGGCTGTGAGGCAGGCAGTGCGTGACATGTGCCAACAGGGCGACATATGCCAAGGCCCTTTTTCATTATTATTGTGCGGTTTGTAGTCGTGGTTGCCATACATTCAGATTTACAATGGCTGTGAACATATTCCTTTGAATACCGTTGCAGCTGCACGTGCACATAACGTCTCGCTCTGCCTACTCGCAGAGCAAATTCTCTATCCCGTGTCATAGTCAAATGCTCTGCCAATTTGTTCTTCAAAATCTCCGGAGTCAGCTGCGAGCTCCGACCCTGAGCGGTGCAGAATTCATTGAAGAAATGCTTTGTTGCAATCAGAGAATCCAACAGGCCATTGCCTCAAGACTTTGCCAGACAAATTTGATCAAGAACAGCCGATGCAACTTTGGAGATCAAGCTTCTGCTGACCTTCAACCTCCCAATCACTTCCTCATGGAAGCTGTTCCCTCCATCCAAGACAGCACCCACATCACGCCTAACAAACGCCCAGGGCACTCCGCTGTCTGGGCAGTGGCTCGGCTTCTGGATGCTCTGAGCCTCCCGGCTCTTGACGGTCCACCTGCCCGTACCCAAGGGGATGGCGCTGTTTGCCGCTTGTGAGGGGAGCAGCGATGCACACTCTCGTTTTGTTTTTCCTTTCTTACAGCAGCCATGCACCAGACCGAAGTGACACAATCTCCATGCTTTGATCCATGTCACAGCGACCGGAAGCCATAAGAGCAGCTTGGCCAACCGCTGAGCACCGAGCTTTGAACCAACTTTCGCTGTTCCAAATGCAGAAGTGCTGGAATGCAGCCAAAAGGATGGTTGCAAGGCCTGGCACTTTCAGCCGTGTTGCGCAACAGTGTCCCTTTGGCAAAACATGAGCAGGCTAAAGTGGTGAGCCCTTCATTCCTGTGGTCTCTTTGTGTTGACCCATCCGTCTCTTAAACAAGAAACGGACAAAGGGACAATGCTGACGCTGTCCGTGGCTCCCACGCTCAAGGACATGGACAGTATATTGATTCATAGAAAGCCAGCATGTCACACATTTTGTAGTGCGAGGGAAGTCGACCATCATGCTGCATAAAGCTACAGCCAGCTGCCGAATTGGTTGCCAAATTAGCTTGGAGCCAGCGTACACACACATAAACTGGCCTCGTTGTCTTCTGCGCTGTTGACGACCGGCGCCCTGGCCACATTGTGAAGCGCAAAGCATAGCATGACGCAGGATCCCTGCGGCACGCGGCAGTGCAAAGCAGCTGATGATAAGAAACATTTACCGACGTGCAGCAACCACAAAGCTAGTCTCCAACAAACATGCCTTGAAGCAACTGGACCACTGCACCCTGCCATACTGCGAACGTGCCAACTAAAGCTTTTCCAGCACTCCGCATTAGTTCGCTGCAGATATGCCACAATGTCGTCATGGTTGCTCTGACAAGACTCGCACTTTTAGTCGGCGGTCGCAACAATCATCAGCTAGATCCATGTCCATGCATACACACCCCTGCTGCTGTGATGTGGCTGCAGACTCTCAACCTAGTGCCTCGGATCAGCCAAAAAGACACGTACACCAAATAGCTGCTTGAAGTATTGTCTGCGACACGAGGGAGTTCCTCCTAAGGATGCAAATGGAGTCGAGCATGCCTCTCACACCCTGCGCCCAGATTGCCACCTTTACCATTTCTGACAAGGGCTGCAAACATCGAGACCTGGATGGGCTGCGACTGACCATCTGCCACCGCTCCTGACACACGGTGCCTTTGTGTACATGAACAGATCGACTCTTTGCGTAGCCCAAAATCGAAAAGGGCTCATAGCTTGCTTATAACGGCCTCAGATCTATTCACTGACTGGGCCTGACACTCAAAATGATGCGCCATGTATGTCTCAGGCGTATGTTCCGGGTCTAGTCTTGCCTGCAGTAATGCTTAAATGCGACCAAATGGATAAACCGTTGCCAGTCCAGGATTCCTGGCAGGGACCCTTTAAACATCACCCCGCCAAACGGACTTTCAAGTTTCACCCTCGCATGTCTTGGAGTCTTGTCACCATCCCAGTCCGTCTGTGGCTCGCCGTTCTCCATCTCTTCTGGGCCGGGTGCAAGAGCTTGGATCTTTTCCCAAGCCCAGCAAAAATCGACCTGCTGGGCTCGGTGGCCAGACAACATGAAAGTTTTTGGGCCTTGGCTAAGATCATGAAGACACCTGCCAACCAAAGCTTTAGCGGAATCAAACTCAAACGCGGCAGAGTTTGGATTCCAACATGCCTTTGTGATTTACTCATGGGACCTTCACAGATTAGGCACTAGAGTTGACACGTGTAAGCTTGTGCTGGCCTAAGGGCATTTTTGTGGCAAACGGATATCAACTTGGTGAGTTCCCATGCTGGGGAGCTCAACTGCTTTTGTCAAACTTGATCGAGACCCCCATGAAGTTGAGCCTTGCTGTTGCCTTCAAGATGCGCGGGGTTCGGACCTGCCTGACCCCTAGAGACAGTCACCAGCGAAATTGCGAGCGCATTCTTCAAAGCATTACCAACTCTCATGAGTGGAGGCCACCACAGCAGCAAAAATAGCACAACACAATTTGGGAGACTGAATTTACCATGCAGGGAGTGCGATTGTCGTTGCGAAGTTGCTCCCACTGCAACAAAAACAAGTGAGCACTGCAAAGTGGCACGGGACGTCCAAATCCGAGCCCGCTTTCTTCCAGTCAATGGCAAGCGGGGCCAAGCCCAAAGAGCAATCCGCGTGCAGAGCTGCCAGAGCCTCTTTTCAGTTGTTTCCTGGTAAAGCTGACCTGGGCTTCTCTCCGAACCGAAACTTCGGAGTGGCCCGAGCCGGACTCGAGATCAAGGCCCCCCGGCCTTCTTTGACGCTACCGGCGACCTCGGCTGCTTCTGCCTCGGCCTCGCCGGGATGTTGGCGAACAGGCAAACTTGGGAGCCAAATGGGAACAGGAGGTAAAACTGGGCTTGTTCCCGGCCACTGGTGTGAAATCGAACCCCCTTCAATAAGTGAACGAGACGGCCTGCCATTCTTTGAAGAGGTTTGTTTATTTGATGCTTTGCTCATGTCTCTGAATCAAGCATTTCGTGAACACACTGTGTGCGACCGGTTGACGGAAGACGTGCGAATCCTATTCAAGTTGTTCTAGGTAAAGCATCTCACTTCAAGCTTGCCCAGCTCTGTTGGCCAACACGGTTTGATCAGTCGGGAAGGGGGGGCCAAGCACAGTCAAGTTTGGTTATTACTCGCGTGCTAGAAACTCAGTTGTCTTCGATTAATTAAACAAATGTGAATCGTTTCTTTCGGTGTGCACAGTAAGCTGAACACCTAACCGACCAAGGTCTATGCAAGTACCCGCCGTGCAAGCATCGTTCTTCCCGCGGACTCAGAGATCTAGCCGGCACCGGAGCAGATGCTCGGATTCCTACAGCTGTGCACAAATGCCTGATCAATACACCTTTCAACAGGTAGGAACAGATGTTGAAGGGGTACCCTGATGCACCCCTAATGCATTTAGTCCTCTCTGGTTCTCCCCGTCTGGCCAATAGGACAGGACGGTCACAGAAACCACAGCATTTTGTCATTTCCCAGTGCTATGCTTGGGGACACATGCCCTTCACAAGCTCGTCCCATTTTGATACATTTGCTGCTTTTGGGCTGCTGATTTGTCCAACATGAGACGCTAAGAAAGGAAGTGGTTTGGCTAGTTTGGAGGGCGGGGTTTCGGCGGGTGCTAATCACGGATAAAAAGTGTCTGCTGCCAAACCTTGCGGGTGCCTTCAAAGTGGAATTGGCAGGGCCAAGAAAAGGGATGTCTTTGAGTGTTAGTTGCTCGACTCTTGAGACCATCAAATACTCATTAAACTTTTTCACCTTGGATTCTGCTTCACACTCAGGCACCGACGGCAGCTTGAAACAACGGGTCCTGTGCAGAGCGGTTGTGGGCTAGTTGTTGCCTTACCGACGAGTTGCAACAGCAAAGGGACCGCCTTGAGACCCTGACAGCTCTAGAGGCAACAAAGCACAAAGGCTGCCCGAAGCGTCCTGCTCCGGGTCCTCTGCAGCTGCCTGCTCCTTCCGATGCCACTTGTTCGCACTTGAGCAGCGGGGTATGCGCAAAAAATCGGTTGTACTGGTCTCACCCTTGAGTTTCCTCGGCATCTTAATTCGCTGAAGACTGGATTTCTCAGTTCTTCTGCAACTAGCCCAAGAGGACTATCTCTACTTCTTTGGCTCAAGACTGGCCCAAGACTTATTTTTGGCCCCAGCGGATTTTCCATCCCTTGAGAGCCTTTGTTCTTTCGGTAAGCGTCCCTGCCTCAGCAAGGGCCTCTGCCGGAGCCTGGAGGCAATGATCCGGGGGAGCCCGTTCGATAGTTGGATTTGCAGGGACACCGCAGAAAAAATAAACATATTTCCTAGCCATTTCAGGCTCGGCTCAGGCACATTCACTGCGTGTTGAAGATAGCCAAGTGAGCGCGGCCAGTTGTCACAGTTTGCCCATAAAGCCTTTGGCCTGGCTGCAACAATTCGAACCGTGTCTCTTGCTCCAGAGTGACCAGCACAACCGCGGCTGTGGACGGTCACAAAAGAAGGGTGCTTGGCCCGTTTCGTAATTGGCTAGTGCCGCAAGTTATAAGCAAGTTACAACAGGGTTGACAGCCCTTGGACAACTTATGCGCAGATTGTAACGTAGGTTTCCAATTTGGTAGAACACTCTAAATACGCTCTCAGAACTGTCAGCATCTGTGCACGTGGCCCCTGCTGCATCCCTCAGCATTTTCCGGCCTCCTCACAGTAGGTGTCCTCGATCAGGTTCTCCTCTTCTTCACCTCAAAGCGATACACTGGCGGTCCAGCTCTGTTTGCGAAAAGGTGAGCACCTTCTCAACGGCTTTGATCGACATCGTGCCTCTGCCCCGATAAGCTTCTGAATGCCTGATAGTTTGACAAGGCTCAGGCAACGGCCTGACCAAGGAAGGCAACCACTAAAGGCAAAAAAATACACTTGCCCTTGGGACAGAAACCGCGGATGCAGGCTCATGCGCACTGAAGTTCAACTTGGGACATATTGGGATATGATGTAGCATTTGCGTACATGCCTGGAATGCATCTTGATAAGCAGGTGACGAGTATGTGAAACCCGCACAAGTAGCCTGGAATCTGTCCAACATAAGGCAGCAACAAAACTTACCCAAGCACATCGATGATGCTGGCCCCTGAGTTCATGGACTTTATTGGGGCGGACGGACCATTTTAGTGGGAGTGGACCCTAAGCCAACCGCGAGCCAATCCTAACCAACCCGTGCGCCCACCCCAACCCGAAACAAACACAAAATGGTCACTAAATCCACCCTAAACCCAGCCAAAGCCAAAGCAACCCTGCAGCTCCGCTCTCACTCTGAACCCACCCTGAGCGAACCCTAAACCCACCCAAAACCCAACCTAAACCAACCCCAAAACAAGCCCACTGAACCAACCCCAAGCCAAAGCCTGCCAAAAGCCTTCCATGTCCAATGCCTTCACAAAAGCATACCGCATACACATGAGCTACAACACACACACAAACACAAACACATATTCAACCCGAGCCGAACCAGCACAGAGCCAGCTGGCAGTCGGCTGAGCGCGGCCTTCGAAGATGAGTTCCTCCTCCTCTCCTTCGAGCCTGGCCACTGCCGTCGAGGCCCCTCGCTCGGACCATTAAGAACACCTATCCTTTGCAACAATTTGGTGATTCCCGAGCTTGCTCGTACATTTGCAAGGTCTCTCAAAAACCGGCCTTCAAAAGCAAGCCCTTTGTGGGGGAAAACACAAGAGCTGCTGCTTCTGTAGCAACGAAGCACTTTTTGGGCCAGAAGGTTCACGGCTGTGCCACTTTGGCTGGTCCGAATATCATGGCCGCAGGTTGACCTCCATGAGGTTGGCTGACTGACATGGCTGGGCTGGTCTGACGTGGGCTTCTCATGTGGATCTAGGTCTTGCCTTTGTGCCGGGTGATTCTCTGCAGGGATAGCAACTGTGCGGAGTACTGTGTCACATGCGACGTTCATGAAACACAGCCTCTTTATCTTCATCATTGCTAGCAATCCATCAACGTCCAGCGACACTTTCCCGTTTGGTTTGCGGGAACGCGATGGGCTGGCCATTCCGCCACCAGCTCCTGCACGTCCTCGGACATCCTGGCAGGGGCCGGAGATAACCTGGCACTACAAGGCCAACATGAAACCTGTCCCAAGTATGGGCCTGTTTGTGAAACCTGGTCCATTGCCTTCTGCAACCACGCCGTCAAAGGAGTCTGATTGGTACCTTTTGATGATCCTCATGAACTCGGTTCATGTATCTCATCGTCATGCAATTCACCCGGGGTGGACATCTGCATGTATGCCATAGATGTCTTGTTTGACAGCCAGAGCAGAATGACAGTGAAGATACAACACCACCTCCAGATCAACAAATGTTGAAATCTGGGAGTCTGCAACACTTTTGACAGCCCTGAATTGTTGCCATCTTCACAGCTTCCAATCAACAGCACTTCCCTGCTGACACGAAGCACCTATCAGTCAGCTGATATGACTCGACAAATTCGCTGGCCATAACACAAAGGCTATCTGAAAGAAGGTATGCTGCACCATGCCGGTGCTGAAGATTAAAGCCTCATTGCAGGGACGCCAACGTTGGAGTTCTCCCTTTGCAGTCAGTCAAACTAAGTGGCTTGTTCCGTAGCCCAAATGCGGCCATCAAGCGAGCACAGTTGCACTCTTCGGGTGGCACTCCTGGCAGCGGGGCGGACAATGCAACCCACCGAGAGTCTGCACCTCTGTGTCACTTTACACACCCACACCATGCTAGGATGGTTCCTTGCCTGGGTCGTACGGTTGATCTTGGCCCAATCATTGCTCTGACCAGCCGGGCTATGCTAAGGGTCTCTTCATCAAACAGCACATTGGTGAAATGAAGTCTGTTGACAAGAGCTTCATCTGTAGCAACCTGTGGGGAAGTCCGTGTTGGAAAGGACTACGAGGATGAAATAGCATCTGGACCCGTTTGAGGGGTCGCATTCTGCCATCACCCGTTTTATGACGGCACGAGGCATGCAATTCCATTTTAGCAATACCAAAGAACATCAAGGAACACTTTTGTTGTCAGCGTGCGCCAAACGGATGAAATTGGCGATAGTTCCAGAGTGCAAGCTTGACAGGGCTCTTGAGGCACGGCCCCCTCAATGATGAAACCCATTCGCACATGCACACACCCCCACACCGGCAAGGGCAAATCTGCCATTCCCGTAGGAGCTGAGCCGAGCCTTCCTCCTCCTTCCTTGCAGCCTGGGCATTGGCAAGGTGCAAGCTGTCAAGGGCTATTTTGCGCAGCCAAATGGACCGGCAGTAGGCATATCCAATCATGTACGCAAGCTGTTGCTTAGTGGCATTCCGAACAACAACAGCCTGTGCCGAAAGGTTCTTAAACAAAACTATACTGACTGTGGTGGGCCTGTCGGGCAACAAGCTCGTAGAGCACTAGATATTAACTGACGCAAACGTCCATTGAGTGTTGGCATTCATTGGCAAAATCTCTGGTATTTTGTGATACCATCTGCCACGACACGGTCAGGGTTCTGGAACCATGACAACCGCTTAACGTAAAGAACTTGTCAGGATATGCCCCTCTAGCATACAAGCTCTGCATGAAACGCATTCAGCCCAGGCTGGGTGAATGGCTCGTGGCGCAACAGTTTGCCTCAGGCAAGAGAACCCGGCCGGAGCTTTGTAACTTACCCGATTGGCGCTGGTGACTATGGAGTCCAACTAGCAAGTCAGAACGAACATAAAGATTCTCTTGAGACATTGGTAGCCTTCATCAAGACAACATGAATCGATTATTGTGGCCACAAGCAGCAACGCGAGAAGCACATATCTACAATCCTGCTGGGACACAAAAAAAACAACAACACTGAGTTGAAGCTGCGAGTATCCAATCTGCACATGAGCTACGCTCAACGATCATCGCGCCCTCTCCCTGCATGAGACATGACACAGCAACTTCTTGCACATTGTCAAGCGCATTGTATATCGTCCCCTTTCCACAAGCAAATGACGGTGAACATTGCCTGTTGCTCTAGATGCCTCTGCCTAGGACAGCTGTGCTATTTATAGATCCTTGCTCACATCTCGGAGCAAGTACATAGGTTGCCAGAATGGATCCCATTTTTGTGCCTGGTACAGGAGGCCATGACACCAGCATCCCAAAACACCTCTGTCTTTAACAAACTGCTTCAGCTCCATGCACTGGGAGCCTTGGCCCTTCCCAAACCAGTGCACATTGAAACAGCGACGCATATCCGAACCGCCTCATTCTTGGCGGCTTTCTGATCTTGTCGCTACCCTCCCAATCGTCTTGGCACATTGCCCAACCCCAATGTTGTCGGGATGTGGCGTGGGAAGCGCTGAGTGCGCCGCTGAATCTTCGCAGGCTGGACCTTCATGCAGCACAAGGTCGATGTCTCCCCTTTTTAGAAGGAGTCCCCCTCCCGAGTGTGTGGTGTTGAAGGGAAGCCAAAATGAAACCAACCCTTTGGGGGGTACGTGGCATGTACCTACCTCTTGTAGGATCAGTCATGAGCATCTGATCGCAAACAAAACTCACTGCATCCTTTAAAGAGTAGCACCTTTTTCACGCAGGTCGCCAACCGGGATTCGTCCAGCTCTATGCAACCGCAGGCCTTGTCCACGACCTCCACCTTGCGCTTCTTGGCCTGGCACGGCCCGTGTCAACCGTTAACCTCCCTCTCTGAGGAAGGTCGTCTTGACACACTTCACACGCAAAAAGGATGCCTCATACTCATAGGGGGGCAGCTATGTTACACTGAAGACATGTTCGACCGCCACAATACCAGGGGGCCGAAGACTGCTGCTTCCTCCCTTCTCCCGCTTCCCTTCCAAAAGACTCACTGGTACTGCAATGAAGACTTGTTGTTGTGTTCCCTCAATGGAGACCCTCACGATGGCGCTTCACATACCTCTCCTAGACCTCCAGCTGCAGGGGCAAAAGGGACAAATTGATTCTACAGGAAACCAACATGGCTATGAGCTCTACTAGGGAACACCCCAAAACTGGTTGGTGGAGATAAGCCCCAAACGATGTCCACCCAAGGGCCCAGTTTGAATTCACACCCACATGAAAGGACACCAGAAGAGGTCTGGGCTTCGATCACATTTCGTTCCCCGCCTCCGTTCGTGCTGGGGCCTGCCTGGCAGAAAGCACACGCGCAAGCTGGCTCGAAACCTTGCATGTCAACACCTAGCAGAAGCAAGAACAAAACCTGGCAGTTGTTACAGCGATCTGCAGGCACTGCGTCACGAGGCCGTGCTGTTGAGGTGGCGTTGGAGCTTGTTGCTGCGTTCGTGTTGCAACTGCAGACTTCCTGAGGTCCCTTGGACATATACTAGGCGGGTGCCAGTCTCCACGGAGCTTCCGCGTTGGCCATCGAGATCACCGCCCTAAGGCTGCCAAGCTTCTTTCGAATGCGCTGAGTAGGTTGACGGAATGAATTGGACAGGAAAACACGCCAGTACAAGCACCACCAACAAGAAGGAGGAGGAAGAAGAAGCAACAGACTAAGCGGCCACCAACCAGACTTGCATACGCAAGCCAAGAATGTGATTTGAGACCATTACCGAGTGGGTTGTCCCTAGGCTGGTACAACAGGACTGTGGGCAGAAGCGGATGGCATTAAACAACTGCTCCTTGCTTGTTTCCTGAGGCTAGCCGTAACAAGCATGAGAACTCCCTCATTGTGGGAAGCCACAGTTCTGGAAATATGGTGCTGCCGTGGGACGCTTGTCCAACTGACACGTTCAATGACTGCAAAATCAGAACTGCCAAGGGAGAACTTGCCTGGGGCTTACCACAAGTGCTGCCGCGCCTCAGGCAACAAAGGCTACGCCACTGCCTGATCTCAAGGAGAATATCAGCCTCTTCACAAACCCCACCCCATGACGCTTTCGGCTGAAGCTGTCGGCCCAAGGCACGCCTTGTGGGAGAGGCCCTGCGAGCAGTGCGCAGCCTCGGCTTCAGGTAAACAGGCTCGGGCTATGTGAATCATGGGCATTCTGGTTTCCCAGAATATGGGAACATTCGCAAGGCACTGATTCTGTGTTTTTGAGATGATTTTGGGGCTCCACACTGACTGAAACACCCCGCTGGCCAGCTGAGTCTCAAATGATGAAGAAATACCTACCAATAGAAACCAACGTTTGCCAACTCAACAGGCAAGTAAGGCCTTCTTGATTCTTACCCGCTGTATTCCTCATTCAGCAGAACAATTTTGTCTATTTGTTCCAAGTAGATGTTGCTCCCAGAACTGAGGTAGACAATGCGCTCACAGTGGTGTTCCGTTTTTGGGCGGTTTACCGGCTTGGGGTTTGTTTAAAGGGAACAACACACCGGACCCCATTTTGGGGTTGCCTAGTCGAAGACCAACCTGGTTTGCTTTGCCGAGTACCCAGGCGGCTCGTTGCGATTGCTCACAGCCTCCTCCACTTCCTGAAGGGGAAGCACGGTACCAGGCTGCAAGTGCCAAATTACGGACAGGCTTACAGAGCGTTTCTGAATACAACATCAACCCCAAAATCGTGCCCGCAAAAAAGACACACCCACATGTGGCTGCCGTGAAAGCTGGGTACCCTTGCAATCTGCTGTGAGTATTTACTTAGGGTTTAGGCTTTGAGCGTCTGCTTGAGGTGCAAGGATTGCACAAATTCTCGGTTCGTCAGATTCACCGAAAGTTGGTCTAGAACTTGCCAGAGCCAACAGACCTTGGCTTCCCCATGCCTCCATTGAGCCCTTGATATGCCACTGGAATTCAGAAGTCTGCTTTCAACTGGAGCCTATCAGCCCATGTTCAACACTTACCACCGCACGTGCCTAGATGCCCCTGACGCCGACAAAACACATGCAGGAGGTAGGAGGTCAACGCAAATGCTCAACAGGTTGGCCTTCCCAAACCAGATGCCAGATTTGCAACAGCATAAGGTTGAGTCTGGCAATACTCGCAGCTGCCAGGCACTCGTGGGCCCTTCCAGGAATGAACACACAGCTTGGAGATTGGAGGTCCGCATGTACCGCTGGCAGCTCAGGCGTCGTATTGAAATGGATGAGGTTGCTGTGCATTGGAACGCGCGCTGCCAAGAAAACGCATGGAATCTGGTAGTCAAGGAGCGCGTTGAAGAAATACGAAGACAAGATGTGTAGACAAGGCACAACGCCGCTAGTGCCATCGCTAAGCTTCGGAGTTTCCCTTGCGGGACTTGGAATACCTTCCGCGGGAAACCATCAGTTGCTCACCAGAATTGGAGACTCTCCACATGGGTGCCGTACAATAGGGAACCGCGCACACGGAATGCTGGGCTCCTTTGCTCTCCCTTTAAACCATCTATACAAGGAAAAGGGCCATAACCTAGGTTTCCTTTTAGAAATAGACGGCACTGATGAATGCGGAGAATCAACTGAAACCAGAGCCATCTGTCAACCAAGCTGGCAAAAACAATCATCCGGGCAAACTACCATAAATCACAAATACTGAATCCTCGGCAGGGAGCCGCATCTTGGGTGAGCTTGTTTGACTGGTAAGATCGCTCTAATTGGCGAAAATGTATGACTCTCAATCTTACTGGGTGTTACATGGAGGATAGGTTCAACAAATTGCGCATTTTGGACTTCCTTTTGGGAACATTTCCACGCGATTGCGCTCACATTCGCATTCACAGTCCTTGATGAGCTGCCGGATCTCCTCCTCTTTGCCTCAGCGCGATGTGGCGAGAGGCTTGCGGGCACCACACCCAACGCGCCCTGCCCAGTGGGGTTCAAACTGTGAAGTCCATGGGTTCTATGAATTGACTCCGCAGCGGACTTCCGGCATGAAACTGCAAGGCCCCGCATTTGCAATCTTTTCAGGACATGGTCAAGACGCAAAGCTTCTCCGTCTCTATTCATCAAAGGACATGCGGGTTCCGAGGAGGTCTGCTTTCTCACGACCTCCATGAAACATGCGTCACGGAACCCTTGTATGAAGTCCTGGTGTACGGGCTACACTGCGTACCCAGCAAATGTGGCATAATTTATTGGTTCCAACATAGGCTAATGGATTCGGCGCTTGGAATGGATCATTTCATTCCCCTCGAACAGTTGCACATATCTGGTGTCTTCAGATTTATGCATTTTGGGAGGTCTAAAGGGAAGGTGTAGGAACCTCGAGGGACCTGCGCACGTCCGGCGGTGTTCCTGTGGGGGCCGGGCGCTCGCGGGCCTTCTGCCGCTTCAGCATCTCAGAGGAGAGCAGTTGAAAACTGGCCGAGGGCACTTACCGGCTGGCCAGGCGCAAGTTGGAAAACCAATTGGATTTGTATTATTCTTCAAGATTCTGTATTTGGACACTTTTGGTATTTGCAAACTTTTCTGGGTGCTTGGGAAAACCGTTAAAACAATTGGGGGGCCAGACTTGCCGCTTCAAGTAGCCTATTGGTTTAGTATTGGTTTAGTATGTAGTATTGGCCTAGTCTTGGAAACCTTTCAGAAAAATTATGGGGAGGCCCAGTGTCTTGCTTTTGTGAACCACTTTTTGTATTCAGTACCCTTGAACAATTCACATTATTGGTATCAGGGCCTTGGCTGTGTCCTCCTCTTGGGAAACTGCTTGCCAGGTTCTTGTCAAGAAAGCTTAGATAAAGAACTTGCAGTTTGCTGGGTTTTCGGCTGAGGTATCGTAGTAGTAGTACTAACAAACGACAAACAATGATTGACAGGGTGGCGTTGGAGAAGACAGGATCACGGATCCCGGCGGCTGGGCGAAGGGAAGGGTCGAAGATTCACTATTGTTTGTTCGTGTGAAACAACTTTCGTCTAATTGCAGCCAACCACTTGATTGTCTCAGCCCTCCCTGCCAAGGATTCAACCTCCAAATGGGACCCCGGGAATGGGGTGCTTCATCTGGTTTCCCTTTGATTTCTTTTCCAATTCAACCATAGGTTCAACATTCCCAAATTTGGCTTGTCTTCAAAACCCTCAAGAAAGGGCAGTGTCAAACAAGGATGGCCCCACGCCAACAGGGTTTCAGCTGTTGCATACCCCCTGACAGGATTTTGACCAAGTGGTTGATGTTGACTAAAGCTTTAGATGTCAGAAACTTTCAAGAAGCAAAGCTCGCTTGAAATCCTTGCCCGGGGGGGCACCCCAAAAACACATGCAACCACACATGGCAGGCACGCTCTTCCTTCTCTCGCTGCAGCTGCTCCCAGCCTTGATCACGCCGGAGGCCAATTTAAGGCTTAGGAATGCTTACAGCGCCTTTCATGCCGCACTTGCTTGTTTTTGCATTGTCTTTCAAAACTGGGCACATTTTTTGCTGACCAACTATGGCACACTAAGAAACGGTCCGCAATTACTGCTGTGGATCTATGTTGAGTCAGGTGTGCGTTCGGGCCAGCCGGCGTGGCGTTGTTTGCGAATTGATGGACGCTGCTCGGACTAGCACATCAGCAAAGCGGCAGTTCGGCTGTTTGTCAGGAGCACGGGTGTCTGCAAATGAGGGAACTGGCTTTGGCTTCCACTTTGAAAAAGGGTATCCTCACCTCTGTCGTGGAGCGGCTGACAGACATGCGCAAGGGTCACTTGTCTAAGCCGCTGACGCTCCTCATGCAATTTGACCTTGAGTCGGCACGGAACTTACCCCACGCTTGAATTGCAAGTGAAGCATCCTGCCAACTTTTACGGAGCACCACCTTCCCCAACCAGTCTCCCCAAAGGCATGTCTCAGGGTTTCGAGTTTGTCGTCGCCCAGTCCATGATGTGATTAATTTGGGACAAAAAACAGATTTCCTGCTGGCCAGGCCTGGCTATCCTGCCTGAGACATGTGGGGCAGCTAGTCCAGCGCAAGATTGCAAGCTTAGCATAGCCTTGCCCAGCTAGCTTGGCCTGACAGCTTCAACTAGCCCAAGTCAGTCCAGCCCAGTCCAGTCACGCCCAGCCGGGCTGGGAGAAGCTGTGCAGTGTCAAGCACTTCAGCCCAGTTTTGTCCACTCTCGCCGGCTCAATCGAAGGTTTGGGCAATCGGCAGGGTGCAGACATGATTGCCCAATGTGTTGCATCACGGAAGTTGTTCCCACAACCTTTGGTTGTTGTCATTCTTGTTGTCTCTGCGGTTTGCGGCAGACGAAAAAAGACCGATGCTGGGCCAATGTGGCTTGCTTACCAATTGGCAAATTATTAGCCTTGCCTCTCAGGGCTTGCGCAACTTCGGCCCCTTGACATCCACTGGTCCACAACGCCAAAACCTTCTTGCACGCAGCGCCACTGTGTCGCCTGGCTCCATGACTCACGCCTATGAATCTCCACTCGACCAGCTGTGCTGCTTGCTCTCGAGCCAAACGTAGGATGGATGCTAGAACATTGCATGAGCTTTCCGGAGCCTTTTAGTCTTGTCGACGTGCAGGGCCTGATGCGCCAGCTCCAGATCGAGAAGTGCTAGGTTCTCCGCCTGCCAGAAAGGGTTTTACGAAAAGGCTTCTGGTCCTGGGATCTCTTCACGAGGCAGGACAGTGGATCTACGTCGAAAAGAATCAAATGCAACCTGCAGGTCTCTAACTGCGCTTATCCACAGCTGATACACCTGGCAAAAGGGAAGCAATCTTCGTAAACATGCGCAGCACACGCACACACAACGAGCGGCCGCTGTGAGCGAGATCCGCTGTGCCTTCAATCTGTAGAGCTGTGCGACTCCGATACAGTTTCGTTTTTGCGCTCAAATGATGCTACAATTCACAGATATCATGATATATACATATATACCGATACACATATCTATGTAAAAAAGCTTATTAACGCAATTTCTACTGAATCGGAGGCAAATGGAACATGACTGTCGAATGTGATCTGGTGTGTAATTCAGAAATCATGCACTGAATCCAGAATTCTGACAACGTAACTAAGTTGAGTTTAAGGTTCTTTTTGCCTGCTACTCATACCCGATCAAAAATATGGCTACAAGTAAGGCTATCCAACATATGCTACGTAGTACATGGAGATCAGATGAAGATCGGGGTGTTTCAGCAATATCAGCAACAGTTCCTTCGCAACATACCTTCAATCCTGCCACCCTTCAAACAGTACATGAGCAAAAGTCAGCATTCGCTCGTTGTGCACCCTCCCCCCCCAGAACAAACATGTGAGAGTACCCAACGCCATCCCCGGGGCAACAGTACATGACCGTGAATATTGAACCTTGCTCAATGTTGTGGGGGTGCTGACCTCCTGCAACACGTAGACCGAATCCAACAGGCCACTGGCAAGCGGTCAGAGAGCCTCCACCTTGTTGGCAGCTTCTTGCTGCCGCACTTCCTCCTTTCGACGTTCCAACCTCGGCTACTCCCGGCTCACAAGACCCGCCTCTTGCGAGTCCAGGGACCCCGGCTCATCCGTCTGCTGTTCCAATCTCTGATACCTCTTTTTCGCCTGAGTGCAAGACTTGTACAAAGACCAGTGCGACTTGTTTGGCTCTGGTCATTGATCCCAACCTCGATTTGGGCCGGTTTGTTCTCACGATAGGTTTCGAAGCGAGCGGAAGCCATGTCTCTGGCTGCTGTTGACAACCGGGCATTCATGACAATTGTCCAAAGCTGTTCGCCTGATGGCACTGAATGACAGTGAAGACTGTCTCACATCGTCCGCTTAATTTGCCATCTAAAGCACAGTCTCTGTGGACAAAACACTCATCCTTCAATGAGGAGCCATTTGCCTTCGATGGCCATCGAGGATCTAAACAACCTAAACCAATATGTACACATGAAGGGAGTTCTGCGTTTCCAACAGCTTCATTGCTGCACATCCGCATCTGCTTTAGGTTGCCTCAGCCATCGCTCGCGCGCCTCAAGACGCTTCTGCTCGTGGGAAGCCACCTGGATCCACATGTGGCATGCGGGTGGGGGGGCCTAAGGCCCGTGGCTTCACAGCTCAAACATATCAAGATCCTTTCCGTTTAAGCAGCTCCAAACGATGGCCCTGGATCTGCTTCATTCGGGGCCGAAACGCCCCTCACTTTCAGCCGATCTCAACTCTGAAGCATGGGCCTGGCCCACAAGGTGGCCTCACTTCAGTGGTGAAACAAGTCTGAACTTCTCGTTTTACCAATAGCATGCCTTCCCCAAAAAGTGTAAAGTTCAACACCTCTTGTGTGTGCGGATGACAAGTCCAGAAACGAGGGACATGTGACCCCTTTCTCTAACTTCCTCGATGGCCAGCCGGATATCCTCCTCCTTCAACTTGTCAACTAGCCAGAAGCCATGGGGCGGGAGTTCTCTTAAAACGCTATCCGTCTATGAACACGTGCTTGTGTAACATGACTTCATACAAGATGATCCCGTCGTTTGCCTTTGCAGTTGCCGTTCAAAGGGAAGCTTCTCGTTTTCCATCTGAGTTTGTAAAATTGAGCCCACCCCCCCCCCTTTGGGGGGCTCACTGTTTTTCTATCAAAGCCAGGTATGCAGATGTCATCTTGGTGTCTCTTTAAAACCATCCCAAGATTCGCAGTTTGTGCCAAAGACAAAATTGGGCTTCTTTTTGGTTGTAACAAAAACCCAACTATCCCAAAAGGAGGGTTCACCATTTTGGATCAGCCCATTTTGCTCGGCATCCGGCCTCCTGCGCCAAGGCGTCTTCCCGCGCTTTCCGCTCCCTGGCCGCCCTGCGCAGATTCCGCTGGAAGAGTCGTGGCTTTGGAAGTCATTGTCTTCCATGATCCTTGATGGCTAAATGTCACCATTAGAGACTCGGCTGCGACGTCTCCCCTACTTTAAATCCCACAAGCTAGCTTACGCACAATAGACTTGGTGCGTGAAGCTTAGCCTTTTTATCTTCGATGTTGTCATTTTACCTGCAGCCTCGTGGAGGTACACGCTGCTAGGCTTTGTGTGACACGATGCAGGGTGCACGTGCACTGCCTCATGCTTAGGGTTCGATAGCTGGCTATGTATGCAAGCTAATCTTTTTCGGCGTTCGCATCAAGGCATGTGCCGACCCCAGCCCAATCAACCGTATCTCCATATTTTGCTTTGTTTGATGGTACTCCGTTGAGCTTGTTCAACAACGAAAGCCAAACAACACCCACACATTTTTTGGGTTCTCCTTTTCGAACATTTGGAGACAACGCCATCGCCACCTGCTCCCATCACCTTGTTAGAACCTTCTTTGGGAGTGCCCAATGTAACCTCCATATGTCCAAGGGGCTGCAGCATCTGCTCCATCTCTTGCTGGAAAGCCTCGGGCATGGGACCACATGCTTCCCCTTTGAAGATCTTCCGGGAAGTCGGGCTACCAAACAGGAGATCCGTTGGACAAGTCCCAGTGCAGTTGATCATGGCCATGGAGCCATAGCCACATTCATGAAGGATCTCAGCCAAGTTACTTCCCTCTCCTCCTTGTACCTCAGCGCCTGAGCCGGGTTTGGGATCTCAGTGCTTGTACGCCCTTCAAGCGAGCAGGTTCATGTCCATCCCATGACCTCGTTGCGTCTCTCAACTCTAATCCAATTGATACAAGGTATACAAACACTACGCCCGCACGCCCTGGTCCAGGTCTCAAGGTATTACAGCATACTGGCAAACTTGAGCACACACACATCACGCAGCCAGGCATTCTCAACACTCGCACACATAATACTGATTTGTATGCAAACACAAACCTCGACACCCAGCGCACATTGTTATTGCCAAGGGAAGCAATGACGGACACCTGCATAAATACAAACCTGATTACGCTCAAAGCACCAACCGTTGTTCTTAGAATACGCAATAAAGTCATACCCAGGTGGTTAACACATGGGTTCAAACTTGTGCCACAGCCAGCCTCACTCTTCAGAGAGGCAGCCTCTTGCTCCTGGCCAAAGGTCACTAGTTGTGACTTGAATGGGCGTTGTGTAGACTTGAAATTGTGGATGTTCCTTTGAAGGAAGCAAAGCGAACCTGCTCATGAACAAAACACCGAACATCTCAAGTAAGTACCTCCCTGATGGCAGGGATGCTAGGGCAGAATGGAAGAACAGTATGGGTGATGAGTCTGTTTGCTGAAACTTTTCAAGAGAGAACCATTTGCTCTATATATATAGTCTACCACATTTTGCACACCAATCACCATATAGGGGGTCACTGGGGAGGCATTTCACCTTAGCAACGTCAACTCCGACCTCTTCCCTTTCTACTACCAGCCCATGGTGCTGCTGTCTTGCGCAGGAACTAGCATTTGCAGGATGTCGGGATGACTGATTTGGAAACAACAAACGACAGTAGTTTCCTTCAACAAAAGACGTTGGACAACTGATAACTGTGCCACGAGCCTGGGTTTGTGTGGTGAATTTGGGTTCCGGTCCCCCAAACTATCAATAAACAATCACATTCAGGTCACTGAAACCGCTTCTTGCTTCAACTTTACCGCAAGGCTTGCTCTTGCTGTTCTTGGAAGAGTTGGCTTCCCTGGCATCTCTAAGCCAGTTAGGACCTCACAAAAAATAACTCTTAACTAAGCAACCGACCGATTGACGGACCACCAACCAACCCACAAATCAAGAGCGGGACGCTGTAAGGGTGCACTTTTTTAATCTTTTGAGTGGAAACTCGAGTTGAACTTTGTATGCATAATGTGTGTTTAAATGTCAGCTGAATTGTAAAGAAATTTGGTTGGAAAGAACATACTGTGTAAACTATCAATTACAAATACCCTCATTCTAATTCAAATTCTATTGCGAAACAGAAGTTGTGATTGGATTCAATTGCAATGTTCTATTTGGAAAGGATGTACATCTAAATTCTAAATGTATGATGTAATTCCCAATAAGATTCTGATCAAGTATTTCCTTATTGAGTCCTATTGAAATCCTATTCAAATCCAAACTGAATTTTAGAGAGTGGCCATTGGTGGAGATGTGAATTGAGTACGAAAAAACGCTACAGAACACTGTGTTTTACAGCGCTTTCTGACCATGGTAGTTCTGGGGCTAGTCAACACCAAACAAAACAATTTTAGGACCTCTGAATTCTTTCCTGCTCAAATCTACTTAATATCTTTACCAAATTCTACCCAATGCCTAACTGCAATTAACTAGAGATTATTAAGGAACTACTCCAATCAAAATGTATAATTTGAATTAGACTTTCAAACATGATTAATGTATTTGAACATAAATGTTACACGGGAAATCATTTTCCAATAGAATTGTCCTTACAAATCAGTAAGCATCTAAACAACATGTATTCCCCAGTTCGGAACCTCCAAGTTCTTTCCTTACGCATTCTACTCAATATATTTATCAAGTTCTACTTAATTCTTATCTCACATTAAACATAATTTAAAAAGGACAGAATTCAACCACAAGTATTGGTTTAAAGTAGAACTTAAATAATGTTTGTTCTATTTCAAAATGGATGCTACACACAATTTCCTGTCCAATAGAATTGTCTTTGCAGATCAGTAAGCATTTGAACAGCTTAACAATTTTGGGACCTCTAACTTCGTTCTTATGAACTCTACTTAATATATTTATCAAGTTCTACTTCTGTAATTCTAATTAAAAATAAGAACAATGTAACAAGGAACGAGTCCAACAAAGGATACCATCTCTACCTTATTGTACTAGGACTTGAATGTGAACTACACCAGCGAACTTGATCACAGAAGCTCATGCAAACAGGCCGGAAACGGTAAAGTACAAAAAACAACGAGACAACCAAGCAAAAACATATTATGTCCCCTCAAGTCAGGACAGCTGACAGAGTCTTATATTTTGCTGATGCTCTTCAGGTTTTTCACAGTTTTCCAAAGAAATGCAAAACACCTCGAGAACCCCCCCACAAAAAATACAACAACAACAAAAAACAAAAGGCACCCCCCCCCCAAGCCAGGACAGGTGACATAGTTTGTTTTTTTTGTTTTTGTTTTGTTTTGGTGTTTTTGTCGAGGTTTTTGCGGGTTTTTGGAAAAAGTGTGAAACACCTCGAGAAAACCAACAAAAACAATCAAACCAAGACTGTGTCACATGTTCTGGCTTGGGGGGGGGTAGTCTTTTTTTTGTTTTCTCGAGGTGTTTTGTGTTTTTGGGAAACGTTTCAAACATATCGTGTTTGTTAATAAAACCATAGAAAAGCGCACGCTCAGGGTGTCCTGTTCTGCAAATCAAGCAATCGACCAATCAGCCAGGTTTTGCTGCATTCTATACAAGATGCGTGGCAAAGAACCTTTCTGTCTTGAGTACTCAATTCAGAAACAGCCCAACACTTCAAGGCATATGCCTTGCAGCTGGCGAAGGTCCCCTCTATTCGATCGTGGTGTTTGTGGTTTGAATTGCCACAAAACCACAGGGCTGGTCCACCCTCTTTTCAGCCCGTATTCCCCGCAACGGTCCCTTGTCTGGCTTGTCTGCAAACAAACACTCCTCAACCTTGCGAGGCTTTTCTGCGGTCCTTAGTGCGCCGTGGCGGATCCCGGAGGCTTGGTCGCAACCTCGGCCACCAGCAGCCCATTCGAAAGGCAGGCACTTGACTGATGCATGACTCCGACAATGGGTTTTGGCCGGCTCCTCTGGCACGTGCTTTTCATCACATGCCGGGCCCAAAAACTACCTTGGAAAGGGTTGCCAGGAGAATTCCCCTGGATTCGAAAACAACACCTCGTGCTGTTTCCGGCGAATCACCTGCAATCTACGTGACTGCCAACAGGTGCTTCGAGATGGGAGAAGCCTTATGCATCGGGGAAAGACAGTGCCTGTGTGAAGGCAAACTTGTGAGAAATTTTCGCAGAAAATTCAGCTGAACAAAAAAACACACAGCAATTGCTTTGTTGGGATCGGCTTGAGACATGGCCTATATCCTGCGGCTTGCACATTCCCAGGACAACTTTCATGACATCCAGCATTTGAGCTTGCTAGAGCTTGGTCTTGAATTTCACATTGGCCTGACAGGCAACGTGTGTAGGGCTCAAACCGCGGGGATTTGATACAGTTTGACCCGAAACCAAAATGGACACCCAACCTGGGGCAACCTGATCACGCCTGGGAGCATGTCTAAGTTCAGGTTCTCACTGTTTGAGGGGGAACGCCACCAGGACCCCGCTTCCACACGCCAAGGCACTGAACGACTTTGGTTGCTGCGGCCTGACATGGGGAGCATGCCAACTTGACTGGCTGGTGGCTGTTCTTTATTTGGCTGCTGGTGAAACCATCTATATGAGACCTTTGACGGCCCTCACACTTTCTGTCCGAAGGGCATTGCGTGCTGACATTCCACGGTCAATATGAATATGCATTGTCCCCCCCATTCACGCCAATCGCCGAATTTCGGCGAATAATACCCATTCCCCAATCAAGCTCATGGTGCTGGGAACTTGGGGGTCGATGCCGTCGAACTGCTTGACTGTTGCTTAGGGGTTGTCCATGCTGCGCCGCTTGCCACTTTAAAGGTCTCGGGGGCCTATGTGGCATCATGACAGCTGAGTTTTCTTGGCTCCTGAAACATGTTCGCAAGCGAAAGCCCCGCTTCCAGTTGGTTGTCTCCGGCTCGTCACATGGACCAAACATGGGGTCTGTGTTTTGACGAGAACTTTCCGCAAATCAGGTAAGCTCGTGAAGTTTCTGGGGGATACGACAGGCATCACTGACGCTTGGAGACAACTGCAATGTGAAAGCCTATCCAAGGCTGTCGTTTGATCACATCAACATGTCCTCCTCTTGAATCCACGCCAAGCCAATGCAACCAAATGAGTTCACACTTTCTCAATGACAATACAGCCTGCTTTTGGTCACCCACCACAAAACCAACCAATTTCAACCTCATCGGTTGTCGCTCAGCTTTCATTTCTGCAACATGAGAACAGCTGTATTAGTTTCTCACGTAACCATTCGGCATAGGCCTGCGCCAAGCAAGCTGCAAGACCCGAAAGATGCGCTGCGCTCATGTTGTTTGACACTACTGACAAATTGTCAATCTCGCATCTACACATCCATCCACCAGCGGACACTCCTGCGAGTTCGTTCGTCAAGCGCCAAGTTCTGCCTAAGCAGAAGTCAAGCCAAGTCCTTGATGGCCTGATCGATCCGTTTTGTGGATACCAAGACAAGCTTTTCAAAAGAGCGGACCTCCTGCAAAGTTATCGGGGAGGCCAAGATGTTTTTCAACTTGGGGACAAAACATCTAGCTCCACTGCATGGGCTGGCGCTGTTTGCTGTTCCCCTCCAAAATCAGCGGCTACGTAAGATGCTGACATACTGCCGCCTGCACATTCTGCGCAAATGCGGAAGCTGGCCGAATCTTCTTTCTTGATCATAGATGGGACACCGGGGAACGGAGAACCCTTAACATGAGTGGCTTCCCTTTGGTCTCCCTTTAAACCGACTCCAGCAAGGGTCTTCTCAAAAACGACACACCCACGTGCTACTTTCAGCATTTCTAGCTCACATCTTGCCAAAATTCCTGCGACAGCAAGGTCCCATGTGAATTGTGAATAATTTGCTGTTCAGCTATTGAATTGGTTCCCACTCAAACGACATTGGCAGTCAGTTGTTTGCTTTTCTGTTTGCCTTGTGCGAAGCCTTAATTAGTTGAGTACTTCCCGTCACTATTCGCACTCGAAGTCAGAATGCGGCCCCGACTTTCGACACATCTACGTGTTCGATATATCCCGGCCTCCGACGAATCCCGTGGCACCAGCACCGTTCGCGCCCGAGGTGCCTGCCAAGGGAGCTAGCGGAACGAACGGATCTATCTGCGTACTGCCTTAGAGTTCAAAGCCAAGCGCACATACAGAACTATGCATTGACGTAATCGAGCATTGACAAGGACACAAGCAACGTTACAAAGCGAAGATCAAGAAAACAACGTTGCCAGGGCAAAAAAAAGACAAGCAATGTGTGGAAACACCGAATCGAGCCGAGGACTGGTGTCCGCAAGCTGAAAATACACACACACCATCCTGGCAGTGGACATGCGGGCAGTCAGCCAGGTTTGCGCAAAACAAACAACGAGTGAAGAAACAAAGATGACCGTTAATCCCTTCTCCCTAATGCTAAAGGTCCCCCTACTACTAAAACCGACTTTGATAATCCTAAATGCAGAAATACTACTTTAGAATAGCCAATACTAAACCAATTCTAAAGCGGGCAGTTTCCTGCCCGTGATGAAATCCAGCTCCAATAATTAGGGGGACCCGGGAGTACATTTTCTTTACTACGGCTGTGCTACAAAGTTGCATCTTTCGAGCCGGAGCTCCGGGAGTACGTTTTCTTTACCACGTCTGCACTACAAAGTTGCGACTTTGGAGCCGGAGCTCCGAAAGTACGGTTCTCCGAAAACGAACAGGGGGCCCCGTAATCCTAAAACCGGTTTTTCCCAGGGGACCCACTTAGTATTTGCGGGGGGGGGGGGTTTAGCATTAGGGGGAAGGGCTGAACCAAACCTAAACAGCGAACAGGCTTCTACCTGGAAGCGCCGCCTCTTGAGCAAATGGAAAAGGCCCACTGTGGCACCAGCTCTATCATCTTGAAATCACACGCTCTTGGGGAATTCACTCCTTGGTGCTGCCCAGAGAACAAGGGGCATGGTCCGTTTTCAGCAAGTTTGTGCAACTCTGACCGACAAATATTGCCCCACAGCCAGTGTCCTGCCTCGCGCGCAACCTTGCGTGGCTCGCGCGGCATCTCTCGCCGCAACTCCTGCGGCCGCTCTGCCTGCCGTGATCAAACGTTCCTACATCGGAAGATTGAGTCCACCCAGTCCACCCATTTTCACGCCACGCACACACACACACACTGACCCTAGGTTTTGGGGCATCCAGCTCTATCATTTTGAAACCACGCGCTCTTGGGGAATTCACTCCTTGGTGCTGCCCAGATAACAAGGGCCATGGTTCGTTTTCAGCAAGTTTGCGCAACTCTGACCGACAAATATGGGTGTGGCTCAAAATTAAACAGGAGGGGTTACGCAGGTTTTGGGCCGTGTTTCCACTTACCAGGGTTCCATTTTGGTACCGGGTTTTTGAGCCACAGCCATATTGCCCCACAGCTAGTGTCCTGCCTCGCGCGCAACCTTGCGTGGCTCGCGCGGCATCTCTCGCCGCGATTCCTGCGGCCGCTCTGCCTGCCGTGATCAAACGTTCCTACATCGGAAGATTGAGTCCACCCAGTCCACCCATTTTCACTTGGGGCATCCAGCTCTATCATTTTGAAACCACTCTCTCTTGGGCAATTCACTCCTTGGTGCTGCCCAGATAACAAGGGCCATGGTCCGTTTCAGAAAGTTTTAGCAACTCTGACCGACAAACATTGCCCCACTGCTAGTGTCGCGCCTGGCGCGCAACCTTGCGTGGCTCGCGTGTCACCTCTCGCGGTGACTCTTGCGGCCGCTCTGCCTGCCGCGATCAAACAACATTCCTACATCGGAAGATTGTCAGTCCACTGTATTTTGAAGGTTTCAGTGCCTGATTGTCGGTCTATATGAAATCTGAAAGTGCTCAAGATCATCTCTCTGATTGACTTTGTTGCCATCAGAACAATCGGATTTGTCTGCGTACTGCCGTAGAGTTCGAAGCCAAGCGCACATACAGAACAATGCCTTTAATAAGGACAGAAGCAACGTTGCAAAGCGAAGATCAGCAAAACAACGTTGACAGGACAAAATGAGGACAAGCAATGTGTGATCCAGGAAGCACCGAATTGGAACCGAGGACTGGTGTCCGCAACCAGGGCTGCTCAAAGCACGCACGCACACACACACAGAGAACATGCTGGCAGTCGAACTGGACATGCAGGCAATCACGCAAAACAAACAACAGAAGCAACGAGTGAAGATCAAAAATGACCATGAACCAAACCTAATCGGCGAACAGGTTTCTATCTGAAAGAGCGCCGAGAATGGTCTTCGTACTGCACCATGCTGCATGGCCATTAATTTGCTTGTTGCACTCAGTCCCACCCGTTAGCATGCATTCCACACATGCACACCCACCTGTGTTGGCATGGTCTGACAAGGGCCTACTGCATTTTCACCGACGGTTGGGCCACGCACTAAATTTTCCAAGTTGACGAGGGCTATGGAGCGTTTTCAGCAAGTTTGCGCAACTCTGACCGACAAACATTGCCCCACTGCTAGTGTCGCGCCTGGCGCGCAACCTTGCGTGGCTCGCGTGTCACCTCTCGCGGTGACTCTTGCGGCCGCTCTGCCTGCCGCGATCAAACATTCCTACATCGGAAGATTGTCAGTCCACTGTATTTTGTAGGGTTTCCGTACCTGATGGTCGGTCTGTGTGAAAGTGTTGATGACCATCGCTCTGCTGACCAGGTGTTGAATGGTGGCGCAACATAAGTGGCTCTCTCAATGCATTGTTATGTTGGCACCTATGTTGGAGAAGGGAAAGCCAACCGGAGGCAAACTTCACGTTCTGTTTTCAGGCATATTCCGTGCTATGGTGACGGACGGGCATTGGAACCGACAAGCCATACTTACACACCAAGTAGTGTACCGCCGGATGGAGAGCAAATGAGAGCACAGCCGCAAGCTGAAGCATCTGAAGTCTGAACTCTAACACCCTCGCCTTGACAGCTGTGCGGGGCGGCGCAGCCTGCGCACGAGCGCACAGCTGTCATTATTTGACCTAACTGTCCATTGATTACAAAGAGGGCTTGCAGGGAACACACCACGTAGCTGCCGCTCTATTGTGTCTTGTCAGTCTGGCATCTGGCTGCAGCATCCAATGTGACATCAGCGCCATCTCTCGAACGCACATCTTTCACCTGTTGTCACCAAGGCTACTAGCGGGCTGCTAACTGGACTCCGCTGCAAGAGGTCAAGGCAAACTTTCAACATGTCCAAGCAAAACAATTCGATCGAGTGAAGGCACGCAGCCTCCGTCCATCCAAGAATCGACTCCCCAGCCTTCTTTGGCGCCAGCTCCGCCTGCTGTGGGCCGCTGCCGCTTGAAACCAGGCGCACTGTGCCTCTGGACACTGTGAAGCGCCCATCTGACTCCGCCGCGGTCTCGGTTTCGGTCTCGGCCTTCTCCTGATCCCTCGCCACCAGCCGCGCGCGGGGCGGCGCGCTCTCCACCCGCGCTACCCGCGTGGCACTGCTCGCCGCGGGCTCGGGTTTCACCACCCGCGGGGGTGCGCTCACAGCGCGGAAGCCCCGGGGCGGCGGCACCACCCGCACGTCCCTCGACCGCTCCGAGATGACGCGGGCGGGCCGCCGGCCCGGTTTCAGAGAGGCCAGCGGCATGTCTACAGTGTCTACAGCATGAGGCCCAAGCCAAAATTTGAAAACGAGAGCTGAGTGGCTTCGCTATTTTGAATCTCTTGTCGTGTTGCCCTTGTTCACCAAAAAGGCAGGACAAGAAGCGAGCACTTGCTCTGGTGGTTGGATTCAACATGCTCTGTACAATCATTTCAAGCCATGCTTCTGCTCATGTCATCTGATGCTCAGGACCACGTGGGTCCTAGTCCCAATTGGGCCATGTGGCAGTGCTTACTTACTCCAGATTGGTTGATCTGTGGTCATCAGCAGGTTGAAACAGATTGTTCCACCTTTTGCAGTCTGAAGCAACCTGAAGTATCAGAATACTCTCTGGTGTTTGATCCACTGCTTGTGAGCACGGGAGTGAAACGGTTCAAGCAACGAGGCCCTGTGCCACATGTCTTTTCTTGCGATCTGCAACTGCCATAGCCTATACTCCTCTGCATGGCAGCGCGCAGCCCTTTCTCCTCATTCTCTGCGTGAAGCGATGCGGTCGTTTTCTGGGCTGCGCTTGCCGCCTGCAACTCCTGGCTGGATGCTTGGCAATATCGATTCGATCGAAGCAGGCACCCATTCCTCCGATCACAATCCAGCTGCTGCATCAAGGCGATGTGGGACCAACATATTCAAGCCAGCACTGCCCCCGAAATGGCAGCACACCATGTCGTGCTTTTGCTTAAATCTGTATCTTGGGAATCCTCCTGACTCCTGCCTGAGAGCTCTTGGGCCGTTCCAAGTAGTAAACTTCGCCATGAGTGAATATGTTGTCTTGGTCAACCTACTTGTAAGTGAAGTAAAAGGACCGCCCTGGAAAACATGCAAACCCTCCTTTCATCAATGAACACCGAGGATCTATTGAGGCCTGGGTTGTGAGAAGCTGGCAGGGCACCAAAGGCTATGAAGGGAGGACCGAACAAACGGAGACAGCATACAAGTGCCTACTTCGGAAAAGGTTGCTGGACAAACCATCCACCACTTCAATGAGCATATTGCTGATCGTGGAAGGATGCACATTGAACTTGAACACACACACACACACACACACAACGCGCACACACACACATTACATGAGGCGTCACCTCCGACACAGAGGTGGACATCAGCCTGCTGGAGCCTTCACGCGGTCCACCTCTTGATAGATCCTTCAACTTAGGAACGGTACGGTTCTTTGATTGTGTCGCATGTGCCTAGAAACAAAGGTATCCTGTTGCAGATAAGGAATGGACCAGCTGATTGGGGACAACCTCCTTCATGACCCAAGCAGCCCTCAACCATGCTGCGCATCAACGAACATGACAGTCACTACAAATGCCTAACTGCTGGCGCAACCAAGGTGCTTGTGAATTAAAATGATGATTGATGATGCTTGTCGGCCTTAGCGGAACGGGCCATAACTTAGACCATGGGACAACACCGGCTCTCCTGTTCTTTCCGGCTGCAGCGTTCCGGAGCATCATGAGCAGGTCAGTGGAGATGGGTTCCATGGTGACGCATCCTTGGAGACAAGGAAGCCCAGGTACAGCTGCAACAAAGCAGCGACAGCCTCAGTCAGCCGCAAGCTTGGCAACGACTCTGCCTCTGCCCAGGCAATGCTTCGGCATGAGCTCCATCCCCTGATCTCTCACGTCCGTTTTGTGATCCTTGGCTGCTGCACCCTGCCTCCGTCTTCGAGCCCACCCTGCGTCAACGGCTCAGTCAACCCAGTCCACTGTGCAGGATTCTCATCGTAGGATCTTCAAAGGGAACGTCTTGCGAGGTACTCCAACGCCACCAGGCCCAGTTTGGCGGCTCTGTTTCAGCTGGGAACTGCAGTCGCTGCCAGGAAGTTGGAAGAAGGCGCAAAACCTGGGTACAACATCTGCAAACGTGTCACAAAGGTGCTCATGTTTCACGTTCGACAACCTCAATGCAAACAACACGTGTCTGAAGCAGTTCTTCTTCGACGTGAAGCTCATTGGGCCAAAGTTTCAAAGAGGCCTCCCACTCGCCGAGCCGCTTCTGGCGTCGTCCGCACGTGCGGCCTTCGCATCCTTGCCGCGGGCTTTGGTGCCTGTCTCGTCGTGAAGGCTTGCACCTTTGCAGCACAAGGAGCCAGAACTTGATGAGCACCGGGCAGGTGCAGAACTATTTGCAACATCGCAACAGATGCAACAAATGCTAAAGCAGCCCCCGAAAACATCTGGCTGGTTGATGTGTCAGGCACTGGCACAAGTCCCTCTCAGGATCTTGATTTCAACAATCATCAATAAGACTAAGATATGTTTCGGGGTTCAAATATGTCCAAAACTAAGAACAGGAAGCGCAGAATCTCTTGAGAAACAAGTACCACACATTGGAAACGTGCTAACAGACAAGTCGTAGGATGCCTGTTCCAGACTGTGACGTCGAGCGCTGCATCTCTGAAGCCGTCTGCTGTCGCGTTGTCGGAGTGCTGGCTGCCTGTGCGGCAGCGCTGCTCGTATCTGCGGTTGTTCGTACCCGCGGCACAGCTTCGGGGATACCTGCGCAGCACGCCAAGGCGGGCGCAGAACCGGTTGGACAGCAGCAGGAACGCGTCAAGAATGAACTGAATGGACCGGGAAACTCAGAACGCACGCTTCTGCCAACTACTGCTGGGGCTGCAATGGGAAGTCAGTGGGACAGAAATCAACACGTCGCAAGTTCACCAGTACTTCCTCTCTCTCCCGATTCATCCACTTGCACAGCGCATCTGCATGCGTGTTGCTGACCTTGCAACACCCTGCCCCACAGCCAAACGCATGTTCAAGCACAACTATGAGCAGCAAAGCAAGTCACACGATGCCTGTTCCAGACTTTGAGGTCGAGCGCTGCAACTTTGGAGCTGTGGTCTGCTGTGGCGTTGTCGGAGAGCTGGCTGCCTGCCTGGCTGCGCTGCTTGCATCTGCTGTTGTCTGTACCGTAGGCGCACTGGGTGGGATGCCTGCATGCAGCATGTCAAGACGCGGGCGCTCGGACAACAGCAGGAACGTATCAAGATGGGGCACAACAGCATGCTGCTTCTAGGGCTGCAGCGGCATGACAACCACGGCCAAAAACCGAAGGCTGAATGGTGCATTGAAGTACATTCTTCACAATGTATACATGCCCGTTCAAAGTCAGAATGATATCGTCCTTGACAACATCTACTATCAGCATTGTTGTGGAACATCCGCATGCACTTTGTTCGTGTTGCAACACCCGGCCCCATCAACGAACGTACGTGTGAGTGGCTGACTGGTCGCTGCCTGTTCCAGACTGTGACGTCGAGCGCTGCATCTCTGAAGCCGTCTGCTGTCGCGTTGTCGGAGTGCTGGCTGCCTGTGCGGCAGCGCTGCTCGTATCTGCGGTTGTTCGTACCGGCGGCACAGCTTCGGGGATACCTGCGCAGCACGCCAAGGCGGGCGCAGAACCGGTTGGACAGCAGCAGGAACGCGTCAAGAATGAACTGAATGGACCGGGAAACTCAGAACGCACGCTTCTGCCAACTACTGCTGGGGCTGCAATGGGAAGTCAGTGGGACAGAAATCAACACGTCGCAAGTTCACCAGTAATTACTTCTTCTCTCTCCCGATTCATCCACTTGCACAGCACATCTGCATGCATGTTGCTGACCTTGCAACACCCTGCCCCACAGCCAAACGCATGTTCAAGCACAACTATGGGCAGCATTCAAGTCACACGATGCCTGTTCCAGACTTTGAGGTCGAGCGCTGCAACTTTGGAGCTGCGGTCTGCTGTGGCGTTGTCGGAGAGCTGGCTGCCTGCCTGGCTGCGCTGCTTGCATCTGCTGTTGTCTGTACCGTAGGCGCAGTGGGTGGGATGCCTGCATGCAGCATGTCAAGACGCGGGCGCTCGGACAACAGCAGGAACGTATCAAGATGGGGCACAACAGCATGCTGCTTCTAGGGCTGCAGCGGCAACCAACACAACTAGTGACAACCACAGCCAAAAACCGAAGGCTGAATGATGCATTGAATTCAAAATGTTTACAATGTATACATGCCCGTTCAAAATCAGAATGATATCGTCCTTGGCAACATCTACTATCAGCATTGTTGTGGAACATCCGCATGCGCTTTGTTCGTGCTTCAACACCCGGCTCAATCAGCAAAAGCACGTGTTCAAGCAAGACTATGAGTGGCTGACTGGTCGGAGCCAAACAAATGCAGGATGCCTGTTCCAGACTTTGAGGTCGAGTTCGGCAGCTTTGGAGCTGCGGTCTGCTGTTGCGTTGTCGGAGTGCTGGCTGCCTGTGCGGCAGCGCTGCTCGTATCTGCGGTTGTTCGTACCGGCGGCACAGCTTCGGGGATACCTGCGCAGCACGCCAAGGCGGGCGCAGAACCGGTTGGACAGCAGCAGGAACGCGTCAAGAATGAACTGAATGGACCGGGAAACTCAGAACGCACGCTTCTGCCAACTACTGCTGGGGCTGCAATGGGAAGTCAGTGGGACAGAAATCAACACGTCGCAAGTTCACCAGTACTTCTTCTCTCTCCCGATTCATCCACTTGCACAGCACATCTGCATGCATGTTGCTGACCTTGCAACACCCTGCCCCACAGCCAAACGCATGTTCAAGCACAACTATGGGCAGCATTCAAGTCACACGATGCCTGTTCCAGACTTTGAGGTCGAGCGCTGCAACTTTGGAGCTGCGGTCTGCTGTGGCGTTGTCGGAGAGCTGGCTGCCTGCCTGGCTGCGCTGCTTGCATCTGCTGTTGTCTGTACCGTAGGCGCAGTGGGTGGGATGCCTGCATGCAGCATGTCAAGACGCGGGCGCTCGGACAACAGCAGGAACGTATCAAGATGGGGCACAACAGCATGCTGCTTCTAGGGCTGCAGCGGCAACCAACACAACTAGTGACAACCACAGCCAAAAACCGAAGGCTGAATGGTGCATTGAATTCAAAATGTTTACAATGTATACATGCCCGTTCAAAATCAGAATGATATCGTCCTTGGCAACATCTACTATCAGCATTGTTGTGGAACATCCGCATGCGCTTTGTTCGTGCTTCAACACCCGGCTCAATCAGCAAAAGCACGTGTTCAAGCAAGACTATGAGTGGCTGACTGGTCGGAGCCAAACAAATGCAGGATGCCTGTTCCAGACTTTGAGGTCGAGTTCGGCAGCTTTGGAGCTGCGGTCTGCTGTTGCAATGTCGGAGTGCTGGCTGCCTGCGTGGCAGCGCTGCTTGCATCTTCCGTTGCCGGCACCGCAGGCGCAGCTTCCGAGATACCTGCAAGCATGCCGAGGCAGAACTGCTGGCACAGCAGCAGGAATGTCTCAAGAATTCGCGTGTCAGAAACTTGCCATGGCCTGCTGGTGCTAGGGATGCAATGTGGAGTGATTGGGGCAGAAACTAACAAATACTATCAAGCAACCGGACACAAACTCCCCTCATCGATCTACATGCATAAATACCCGTCCACAACACAATTGCCAGCAGCTTGGCAACATCCTACTCTCTTCCTTTTGACCTTGTATCAGGTTCTTTGTTCCAATATACCAGTTTTCCCTGGTGGCACTGCTTTCGAAGAGAAAAGGCTCTGAGCTTCCCTCACCGGATTTAGTGTCCACTATGTGCAAATACAAATTTGTGCCCAACGAAGGGACTTTGCTCGCTTGATGAATTCCTGTTGAAACCGCATAATCCTGACAAGAAGCACTTGAAGGCGTGCCTAGTCTTGATGACATTCCCTTCATATGCCTAGAAATGGCTCGTTCTCTCTCTCTCTCTCGCTCTAACCAAAGGCTTTCTTCCCGAAAAGGTGTTCTTGGAAGGGTTTCAGGAACCTGTCTAGGGGGTACAGGCGCCTTGATGTCTCCGGAATCTCACTCTCTCAATGGGTCTGGGTGTCCTGGTCAGCCCTTGCCTGCCGGAAACGGCCGGCGGCAGACGCAGAGTCGCCTCGTGTCCCGGTGCGCTGCTTCACCTGAAGCCCGTGGACATCGAAGACGTGGAAACCAGCCAATCGGGAATCCGTTTGGCTGCAATGGTTTCCTGCAAAATGGTTGCCCTCTAGTTTTGGGACCTCATTCAAAGATGTCATGGGCATAACAGGCAATGCACTCGCGCTACTGCTGGCTTCAAACACATTGCCATGGCTTTTATGGCCCCCCCGTCTACTCAATTCGCATGCAAGTTGCAAGTGATGGGATGGTGCAACACGTCTCCGTTGTAGAGGCACGCCTGACGCAGCGAAAGCAAACAAGTTTCTCGCCTGAAGCATTTATTCGTAGGCCCTTTGCAGTTGAGGTGTGGAGGGTGGTTAAAATGTCCTAAGAGTTGTGAGAAAGACGTTGGTCGCTTTCTGCGCACGTTGGTACAAGCCAAGCCACCAAAATCTGCGGCAGCTCTCATGAGTTATCAATTGTGCCTTTACTTGCTGGTTGGTGAGAGGGCAATGTTGGTGAATGGCTTCATGCACATAAGAAGCAGGTGATCACATTGCTGGCATCTGACTGGTACAGCACTCGGCCAGGACGAAGCAGAAGTTTGTATCTTAATTAATGACCACTGTGTCCTTTGGCTCGAGCATTGATTAATATCAACCGTCACTCAAAATTGGTCACGCAATGAACAAAAACATCAACAACACTATGGCCAACATAATCCTCTGCCACACTGAATGTCTGACTCCGAGCCCGCCAACTATGGAACACTACCAAACAACTTTGCAAGGGATGGTTGACCTGCTGCCAAAGCCTCAGTTGGGCCTTTTGAGAGCGGTTCTTAGTCGACTTTGCCTGTCAAAGGACTGCGGTAGGAGAATTTCAAGCAAAAAGCAGAGCGAATATTCCTTTGCAACAACTCGGCTTCAAAGAGATTCTGGGTATACGTCAAAAAAGGGGGACCCCCCAAAATGGTAGTTCCCTTTGGTTTCTCTGTAAGCCAACGCTGAAAAGAGCATCCTCCAGAACATACCCGTCTTTCAATTGAGCCTATGAACCGGAAACCGGCATCGTTTGCGCACCCCGTAGGAGCGGCTGCTGCGAGAGCTGGCAACAGCTGGTTGGTCCGAGCCTCGCACAAATTGTACTGATGTCGAAGGAGTTGAATTGGGAAACAGGGAAGGGATCGGAAAGACGAAACCATCAGGCACTCTGAGGGCTTGCCAAGGGTTGAAGGTCTGAAGGCCTTCTGTGTCCACTTCAGAGAGACTGGGGTGGGTTTGATCAACCCTTGTAGCGGTTCTTGATAGATCTTCTCTTGCAATCACTGATCTTCCCATCCCGCTGCCCAGCACGGACATTGTTTGATTGCGCAAGCAAACTAGAATTTACCTTGCATGTGGAATTGGTATTAACTACAAAGGATTGAACCACGCCATGCTGAGCGCTAACAAGCGGGTTTCTTCTGGCGATCCTGATACGGAAACAACCAGTCGCATTGTTCTGCATGGCGCGTGCACACGTTCCTCATCCCGCAAAGGACATGGGACCTTCTCAGGTCTGCGGCACAAGCCGCTCGCCACCTTCGCAATGCCCTTCGGGGGCCCAGCTTAGTTTCTGCCAAGGTTTGACAGGCTTTCCACAAGTCAGGCAAACCATCCGAATGGTTTCCAAATGAAATTTAGGGCACCCGCAAAAAGGTTGGTTCCCTTCTAGTTTTCCTTTAAGGGCAGGGGGGGGGGTCCAAAAACAAACGCATCCTCATCTTGGTGCTGGACCCATGTTTCGCTCGCAGCGCTCGCAGAATAGCGCCTTCTTCATGGCCTCGGAGAAAGACTGAGCTCATGTCTTGTACCGACGGGTTAGCCTTCAGAAGACTAGGCCTCACGAACCATTCATCTGTGGGAATCCATGGGTATCCCCTTGGTTGCTGATAAACGCCATTGCGATTCGGGGTTCACCGCTTGAAGAGACACCCTCATGATACCTGGGAAGCATTGAAAGAGCTCCCAGGTGAAATACCGTTGCAGCCAGGTCGGAGCCAGGGTTTCCCCTTCCACCGTTTCTATGAACATTTCAGCACCCTCTTCGATATGGTGCCTCTGCCCCTAGCAAACGTGCCAAAATGAGAGAAAGTGGAACCGAAAGATTTGATGCCACCATTGCTTTGCAGCACCCTTCCACAAGCCTTGTGAAACCTGTCCCAGAAAACCTTGGACGCCATTTCCTGGCAATCAGCGAGCCGCGTACAGCACCTGTCTTGAAGGGCAAATCTGGATGTCAAAGCGATGACCAATGGCAGACACCTACACGGGAGATTCGCTGTTTTGGGAAGAAACTTTTGGTTGACTTTGAAGGAAAACTTAAAGGACACCAACCACGAAACAACCCGGCATGTCACAGTCCTAGCAAATGCATGCTCCATCGGGTCACTGAGCCCTCGCTGTCCCTCCCAACTATCTATATTAGATTCCAACTCACTTCTGCTCACGCAACCGATTCCGGATGGAGCATCTACAATGAAAAGGAACCGAAACACGCTGCAACCTGGCAGCGACTCAAAGCAAGTTCTTACAAGTATAGTGATGGGTCCGCTAAAGCGACGCTCTTAAATTCACCCAAAGTGGTGGCAAAAGGGGAAGCAACCCCCGGACATAATCTTGAGAACCAACATGTTCGCTTGGACAAACCCACCGACACCAGTCACGAGTTCTTTACCACGTGTGCACACAAACACAATTGGGGAATAGAGAGGCGCTAACAGGCCGCATCTGAGCACCCCGTCGTCACAGCGGTTCACGAAGCGCAGGTCTGATGGTGCCTCACGGCCCGCACAAAGCTGAGGTCACAGACCCAATGTCCTTGGCATCTCTTAATGTGATTTTGGCGCTTGCAAAAGCAATGCAAACTGTTTAGCCTGCCACACTCATGACGCGCCGCTTGCTGCCCTGAGCTCTTGAAGCGCAATTGGCAGCTTGGCCTACTCATGCGTCGCAGGATCTTTGCATCTTAACATAGTGGTTGCAGTTTAGACATCTTGCAACCGACCCGAACCCCAGCTTGGAATGGACCCCTCGGCAGAACTCTGTGCACCTCTCGGGTTCAGAAGTGCTCATTTGAGCAACACACCAAATGAGAGCACCAATGGTGACGAGTGAGTCCAACTCAAGCTACAAATCCAAAACGGGGGGCCCTTCAATATCCCACACAAACGCAATCGGCTGCAAAGGCTGAACTCAATGGAGCCCTCTTGGCGATGTTGATCCCTGCCAGTCTTCCCAGGTTCCCTAGCACGGGTACACATGTCAATTGGGCACCCGGTGGACATAACTTAGGTTTACATGCACTGTGAGGGCGTAATTAAAATGGGGTTGTGGGGTCGGGCAAAAGACACATTTAATCAATATGGGCATAGACTACTAGTAGTATTTTCACTATATCATGTCCGGCAAGCACTTGTGAGGTTCCCTAATAGCCACATGTAGAACCAAGGCCTCGTGCTCTCCGAGGTGCGCAAAACTCGCCCCGGGAGGCGCATAAGTCGCGGCAAGATTGGCCGGCCCTGTCGTTTGCAGTCGACATGCAAAGGGCTGGGGAAATGGCCAGGCCACCCGCGGAGGCTGGAGAGGGCAGGCTGACAAGGGCAGGCATGAGGTTCGCAAGGAAACTCCCTAATTGTTTGAAATGTGCTTCAGCAAACAAACCAGCTTGTGAGTCAGGGGGTTCCATTCCTGCTTTTTGCTCAGGGAACACCCTTATTCGGCGGGCTGTCAGCAAACAACAAACCACCAGCAACAACTTGTGGGGTCCCCGATCTCAAGATACCCCAAGATGCAATGTCATGAGGCCGCACCACACGCCAGGGGAGACAAAGGGCAGCTTGACGGGTCCTATGTAACTTGCTGGCCCAATCCAGCCAAGTGCACAGATTAACATGGAATCCCAAAAAGCGGTCTCGTAAAATGAAATCCCTCTCGACATAAAGGTCTCCAAGTTAATTTTCAGGATACCCTCTCTGCGAGATTTCAGAGCCAGTGCTTAGCGGCCACTTGTGCAGTCAAGAGCACATCCAACCGCAAAAGCCTGTCACGGAATTCTAGCTTTCTGCCTGCCTCGTCCTTTGAACAACGCACAGATCAGAGAGCCAACTTTTTCTCATTTGGAAACATGTCAGGCCGAACCCAAGCTAACAAGGGCCCTGAAGACATGTCAAGCAGCACCCAGCACCGTGCAATTATTCTTTCCAACAGCCTCAGCTCAAGAACGACTGCCTTTCAGCTAGCAAGCAGAAGCAAAATCAGCAACCAGTTGAAGAGATGCAGCACATGGGCGGAACCACCATATTGTTCAACGGATCAAGTACATGCATCGTTTTCTGGGTTGCTTGGGGATCATCCGAGAGGGGTGGACATTGTCAGTTCGTAGGCACTCGCAAGTGGCCGGCTGCCGGGCAGGGGGTCATGCCCAAGGGACTAGGCCTCTCGGCATACGTGCATTTGTCTCTGTATGGGAGCCCCCCAAAAGGAATGGGTGGTTTCCTTTGGCTTCCTTCTCAAACAACCCCAAAAGGACACCAACAAAGGACACACCCAAACCCGGCGAGGGGCTTTTCCTCTCAGACCTGGTGGGTTCCATGTTAGCCGGAGACTACCTGACCCCCCGTTTCCCTTCCAAACAAATCGCACGAACCCCCCCACCCCACCGGGCCCCGCAAATCCGCAAACCGGCCTCTCGGCTGCCAGCAGCTGGGCATTGGGCGCCACCATCAGTGGGCTCTTGGCCTCTTGGAAGGCCTCCGAATCGCCAGCTTCGACCGCCAGGCCATGCTGCGGGGTGGGGATCTGGTGGGGATTTTGGGGATCGTTTTGTTGCCGGATCTCGTGAGAGGAAGCGGTTGGATGGTTGGTAAGGAAATCCGCGCGCAGCAGTTCCTCAACACCAAGTCTTGGACATGAGGTCCATAGCAGGTTGAGTGGGCCAAATCAAAAGACTCGTTGCTGGTGATTAGCCTGTTGTGGCCACGAGCAACCATTGCTGGAAACAAAAGGTCAGAAGGCTTCAGCAGACCGGTTGAAACTCATGTAAAAAAGATGCTAGCTAGTCCATAGTGAAACAACAAATAGCATATCAAGAAAGCAAACAATTCCGACCATGATGAGGAGTTCAAGGTGTTGGCAGTATTTGCGCTCTCTCTCTCTCTCTCTCTCGCTCTCGGTTGTGCACTTGGTGGATTTTGGGTAGCTGGTGCTGCCACTCAGTCAATGTGTTTCCTCTTTTCAGTATCTCTAGGACAACATTCTTGTAGAAGTGGATGATGGCCGCCAAAGAATGCTATCATGGGGAAGCCCACGTTGAGGGCGGAATCGCTGGCTGTGGATATATTTTTCTGGTCATGCGCACAGGTGGTCAGACCTGGTACATCAAAGCCTCAAAGGGATACACATGGCGCATGCCGATTGTTCCGACAGTCACAATTTGCTCACATTTCTCCACATCCTGGGATCGTATCGTCAAATTGGTTTGGAGTGAAGAGGCATTGGAACACATGTGCTAGGTAAGCACTTTGACATATGTGCTGGTCCCATAGTGCAACTTTCCTTGTTCGCATTAGCTCAGACAAGTGAACGAACATTGTGCCAACATGTGCTGTCTGCTCTAGAATGACATGTAAGTGGAGTTGGTTCAATTCATGATCACAAGTGCACACTGCCACAAACAACCCACATGAAGTGACCAACAAAACCAAGCAAACGAGTTCCTGGCTCGTCCAAAGCCTCTAGCATCCAAGTTTGCAATGAGTTTGTTGAAGCATCCAAAAGGGCGAAGCCGTTGCTTTCCTTGGGAAATTGCTAAGTCCTCATCACCGGATAAACACCTCGCTTGTAGCCTCAAACATAACATAGACTCCACATTCAGGTCCTTTGAGCAACGACAACACTGGGACTCCCACCAAAAACAACGCCATATGTTCAACATTGACCAGGAAACAGCAACAGCAAAAACCATCCCGTCGTTTTCCGGTACGCTCATAGCCACTCTTTCCTTCAAGCTGGGCTGAGCAAAAGTCAGTTCAATTTGATTTTTGCCCTAGGTTGAATCCGTGCACTCATTCAATTCCCTCCAGCCTAATGGAAACTTGGAGCAAACAAACACAGCAACCGTATGGCTACTATGGTTCAGTCAGTCTGGACACTCATGACAAACGGCATGTATGATGCATGTCCGAACTTTGTACCGCACGCTGCGGTTCAATTTCGCACTCTGAGTCCCAACATGCTCTTTATGCAAATTCAGCGTCTTCAACCCCGATGCAAGGCACGAGTCATCTTGGCTCCCACAGAGAGGCGGACGCTTTGGCAGTGCGTCGGCCTGGGGGGTTTTCCAAGTGGATAGCTGGTTTCTGCTCGCATTCCTCTCCAATTTGTCAAGGAAAAGGGTTCAGCTCGTGTTTGACACAACCGTGGTGGCTTAAATCAAATCCCATCAGGGGAACTCTGAGAGAGCATAGCGCTTCTCGAATAGAAACCTTGGGGTGAATCCCATTGGAGGGCTTTGAAGGCCATCGAAAAGGATGTCAAGTTCATATCCCCCGTTTGGTTGAAAAGCCAACGTGGGCCAAAAATATCCACCTCCCTCTGCGCACGTCTTCGGCCCAATCCCACCTCCGGCTTCAAGGGATATGCCGGGAGCGGCCGCAGCCGGGCCTGTGGGTCACCACGTTTGTTGAAAGGTCACCCTATTTTCGCACATCGTTTTTTGAGTCATCCAAGCGAATTCTGAATTGAAGGGGTCAAACCCCTCCAGCTCTACTTGCCAGGTGGCGGATGTTGTGGGAATGAGGGGATGGGCAACGCTATGAAACCTACATGTTTACCCCATCCTTTAGTTCCAATGACCAGTTACAGGTCATTGGAACACGTTGTCACAAAAGTGCCAACAGGGTTGTTCAGGGTTGCCATTGCCACTTTTATCAAAGGATCCAAACAACAGCACAGTCAGCTTTCAACTTCAATCTTTGCTTACTTCCTGGTCGAGGGCAAGAATCCTGCGCAGAACACACAGCAAATGAAGTGGGCCAAACAAAATCGGCAAACAGCCACTCTCAAAGGACAGTGCCTGAATGTGCCTGACGACAGTGGGCAATGTTCTATGCTTCAACCGCATCCTTGAAGTGAAGCAACGCCTTCTTGCCTGCTGCCGTTCGGCGAAACATAGTTTCATCATGTCCCTGGGATTAGGTACTTCAAGCAGAACCAAATCTATAAGCATGAATCGATCTCACAGCCAGCCTCCTACACCCAGGCAGCACAAGGTCTTGTCACTACGCTGGCAACCTCCTCTGGGATTCATGAAGATTGCTGGTTCATTCAGCCACATTCCCAGCTGAGGACCCCCTTGGAAGGAATGTGACCCGCTAATTTCACCCGCCTTGAGCGCAAGCCCAGAGGAGGAAGCCACCATGTAGAGAAAGCCTGGCTTATGCGCGGAATAACAGAAGCATCTCTGGGTCTCCGAAATGGGAGACCTCTCAGTACAACCGCCAATAGGGAAAACATGCCCATTTTGATGCATTCGCATGTCTTTCACCAACGCCTCCCAACAGGAGCAATGGCAAGTTACTTCCTGCAGGCCTACCTCCGAAAGAAACGAGGACAACTGTGGACAGGTCAGTCTTTGAAGACGTTGAGTTCAACTGCAGCTTTGGGATCCAGCTTCTCTTTCCATGGACACGGCCTCTGCCCCAGAGAAGTTTCGTCACCCCGTCCAACCTGGGCGTGAGAGCTTCCAGATTGCTGCCGACTCATGAAACAAACGGCCGGAATCCAAGAAGTTGGTTGTCGCCACGAACAATTTGTGCAGTCCACCGACTTGACTTATATTAATTCTTGATTAAAAGCGGCTCAGCATTGGCAACTACGAGCGAGGCCCCCAGTCACTTAAGGCAATGCCAATGTACCATTTCAATCGGTGCTTTCCAAACAAGGGATTGGCAACCGCCCCAAACATGTGCTCTGCCTTCTGTAACGGCACAACATTGTAGAACGTGGTGAAGCTACACCAACACACCTGGACCCTTCTCGCCAACGTCTCCCCCGCCCCGGCGGCAGGATCTTGAGTGAAAAGCTCATTCCCATGGAAGCAGATTAAGAATCGGCATGATCCCACTCTCAAGCCCGAATGACGCAGTAGCGAAAAAGAATTCAGGGCCCAAGCATCTTCTTGTCAAAAGGATAAAAACTCCTTTGGGGATCTTTGTGCCATTCTAAGTGCCTTCTTTACCCGGGAGGGAGGGGGGGCGGGGAAGGTTGTCAATTTGTGAACCCCGCAAAAGATCAACAGCTCGGCTTGGGACAGTTGAGGTTGTCGCACCATTTGGATCCCTTTGTGTATCGTCTGGAACGGCAAACCACAATGCTAGTTTCATGAGTCGTTTGCCTCGCTCCCATCCCCCGCAAATTCGTAGTTTCCTCAAGTTTCCATTTTCAACGAGCCCAAAAGGGTGCCCTCAACACCAATCACCATACCCCTTTGTCGGACTGAGTGAGCGCCAGCACTTTGAAGTGCCTTCTTTTGATGGGGGCCCTGCATGGCTGGATGTCCGTCTTCCGGCAGCTGCAGAAACCGTGCCTCACGGGCTGCGGACCGTTCGTGTAATTCCGACACCTGAAACAAGCGATCCCCAAGAAAAGGACCTACTGGTGAGCTCGTCTAACCCCCGAATTGGTGTGCGGGTTGCTGGAATTTGTTCCCCTTTTGGTACCCGGTCAAACGTGTGGTGGAGCTTACTATGGTTTGGCCTCAAACAAACAGGGGCACTCGCGAAATCCGTGAGTTTCCTTCCGCTTTTCCAGGTCAACCAACCCCTTAATGGCTGAGAGACCAAGCAATGACGCGATTTGCGTCTTGGGAGCTGGAGCCGCTGCGGGGACTGGCACCAGAGGGCGGGGTTTGCCGCAAGCCGCGCCCGAAAGTCTGAGATCTGCCCTGGGCATATCAGACAATCAATCATCCCCCTTCTGGCTTCCTTTCAAGCGAGGGAATTGACTGGGCCAATCTGCAGAGAAAGCTCTCAGTTCTCAGCTTCCAGCCACGAAGCGCCAAGTTCCATCGCTTTCTGGCTGGTCGCTCTGGTAGTGCACCCGCCTCAGAGCCGGCTGCCTCACCAGTGCCCGCCTTCGAAGCGCGACCAAAGCAAATGCGTCAACCCTGGGATTTGCACCTCCACTCAAGGGCCTAAATGCTAGGA